TTCTGAACATCTTTTTTTCAATATTGCTTATCAAAATATTTCCCCTTTTCGAGATATAAAGTGTCAAAGATTTAGCATTCTGGCCCCTTATGGCCCCTTATTACGTAAGATATGATCAAAATTTTATACTATATAGTTGCAGAATATTAAGATAAACATTTTTGCTTCAATAACTTATAACAAAATATTCATCATTAAAGAGTTATAGATGAAAGACTTTTGGCCCCTCTGAGCCCCTAATTTTAGGGGTCAGCCCCTTTTTCTTGATATCACATGAAAGGTCTTGTAATTTCGAAGACTTTCTGTTCAACAGCTATTCAGAAATTTCGTTTCATTTTCGAGATATGTAGACTTGAAATATTTAGGGGCTGTCCCTTGAAGTCCTTATAGGGGCTGTCTAGGAAAAATTAAAAGGATGCACATTGTTGAGAACATCATTTTAAACAACTTTTGTTCAATATTGCTTTTCAAAATGTTTCCCCTTTTCGAGATATAAATCGTCAAAGATTAAGCATTCTGGCCCCTTATGGCCCCTTATTATGTAACATATGACATAAATATTATAATATATAGTTGTAGCTTGTTAAGATAAACATTTTTGCTTCAATAATGTATACCAAAATATTGATCATTAAAGAGTTATCGATTTAATACCTTCGGCCCCCCTCGGCCCCTAATATGATAAGACAGCCCTTTATTCTTGATACCATTTTAAAGATCTTGTCATTCTGCACAAATATTGTTCAGTATGTTTTAGTAAAATAATTATACTTTAAAAGATATGATACAAAATGTCTCAAAAATTCACTCATGATTCGTGTCCTAAATTTCGACCCCTACCGAGCTTCCATACTAGGCACTTCCGGAAAATATCTAAACCCAGGTGCATTATGGCAACATGTCCTCTATCATCACTGAAAATTTCAGAGCTCTAGCTTAAGTCGTTTTTGAGTTCCATCGCAGACAAGGAGGTCCTCTGAATTTTAATAAAAGGGCGATAACTCGCGACCGGAAGTAAATATCCCTTAACGGACTTGCCGGAATTAACTTCAGATGTCAACGCATCTACCTTGAAAATTTGAATAAAATCGAACGAGCCATCTCCGAGAAATCGTCTGCACAAATTTTGTAAGGAGAAAAAAGAATAATAATAATAATAATAATAATAATAAAGGTAAAAAAGAAACCTAAGAATAATAGAAGGGTCTTCCGCTGAAGACGGAAGACCCTAATAATAATAATAATAAAGGTAAAAAAGAAACCTAAGAATAATAGAAGGGTCTTCCGCTGAAGACGGAAGACCCTAATAATAACTAGATGCGATCTCGTTGCGAGCAACGAGTGGGTCTTCCGTCCGATTTTTGATAAGATGAGATACGAATTTGAGATTTTCGTTCATAAATATATAAATAGTGAAAACGTACAATTTGCTTCAGTTATGTTTAACAAAATTTTTATCATTATGACACCTAAGAACGCAATGCTTGATGAAGATTTTAAAATATTTATAGTAGCAGATCGTGAAGATGAACATTACTGTTAAAGGGTTATGAATTAAAGACTTTTGGCCCCTCTGAGCCCCTAATTCGAGGGGTTAGCCCCTTTTTCTTGATGTCACATGAAAGGTCTTGTAATTCTGAAGACTTTTTGTTCAACAACTATTCAGAAGTTTCTTTTCGTTTTCGAGACATGTAGACTTGAAATATTTAGGGGCCGTCCCTTTAAGTCCTTATAGCGTCTGCTTAGGAAAAATTCAAAGGATGCACATTGTTGAGGACATCATTCTAAACAACTTTTATTCAATATTGCTTTTCAAAATATTCCCTTCTTTCGAGATAAAAAGCGTCAAAGATTAAGCATTCTGGCCCCTTATGGTCCCTAATTACGTAATATTTGAGGAAAACTTTCAGATATATAGTTGCAGATTGTGAAGATGAACATTTTTGCTTCAATAATTAATATCAAAATATTTAACGTTAAGGAGTTATAGATGAAAGACTTTTGGCCCCTCTGAGCCCCTAATTTGAGGGGTCAGCCCCTTTTTCTTGATATCACATGAAAGGTCTTGCAATTCTAAAGACTTTTTGTTCAACAACTATTCAGAAGTTTCGTTTCGTTTTCGAGATATGTAGACTTGAAATATTTAGGGGTCGTCCCTTAAAGTCCTTATAGGGGCTGTTTAGGAAAAATTCAAAGAATGCATATTGTTACGAACATCATTCTAAACAACTTTTATTCAATATTGCTTTTCAAAATATTTACCCTTTTCGAGATATAAAGCTTCAAAGATTAAGCATTCTGGCCCCTTATGGCCCCTAATTACGTAATATTTGATGAAAATTTTAAGATATATAGTTGCAGATTGTGAAGATGAACATTTTTGCTTCAATAATTAATATCAAAATATTTAACGTTAAAGTGTTAAAGGTGAAAGACTTTTGGCCCCTCTGAGCCCCTAATTTGAGGGGCCAGCCCCTTTTTCTTGATATCACATGAAAGGTCTTGTAAATCTGAAGACTTTTTGTTCAACAACTATTCAGAAGTTTCGTTTCGTTTTCGAGATATGTAGACTTGAAATATTAAGGGGCCGCCCCTTTAAGTCCTTATCGGGGCTGTTTATGAAAAATCAAAAGGATGCACATTGTTCAGATCATCATTCTAAACAACTTTTGTTCAATATTGCTTTTCAAAATGTTTCCCCTTTTCGAGATATAAAGTTTCAAAGATTAAGCATTCTGGCCCTTTGTGGCCCTTATTTATGTAACATAAGACGGAAAAATCATAATATATAGTTGTAGTTTGTTAAGATAAATAATTTTGCTTCAGTAATGTATACAAAAATATTGCTTGTTTAAGAGTTATCGTTTAAAGACTTTCGGCCCCTATCGGCCCCTAATTTGATGAGTCAGCCCTTTTTTCTTGATATCATGTTGCAGATCTTTTTATTCTGCACAAATATTGTTCAATATGTTTTAACAAAATAATTATACTTTAAGAGATATGATACAAAATATCTCAAAAATTCACTCATGATTCGTGTCCTAAATTTCGACCCCTACCGAGCTTCCATACTAGGCACTTCCGCAAAATATCTAAACCCAGGTGCAATATGGCAACATGTCCTCTATCATCACTGAAAATTTCAGCGCTCTAGCTTAAACCGTTTTTGAGTTCCATCGCAGACAAGGAGGTCCTCTGAATTTTAATGAAAGGGCGATAACTTCCGACCGGAAGTGATTTTCAAAAAACGATACTGTCGGAATTAACTTCAGATGTCAACGCATATACCATGAAAATTTGAATAAAATCGAACGAGCCATTTCCGAGAAATCGTCTGCACAAATTTTGTAAGAAGAAAAAAGAATAATAATAAAGGTAAAAAAGAAACCGAAGAATAATAGAAGGGTCTTCCGCTGAAGACGGAAGACCCTAATAATAATAATAATAAAGGTAAAAAAGAAACCTAAGAATAATAGAAGGGTCTTCCGCTGAAGACGGAAGACCCTAATAAAGGTAAAAAAGAAACCTAAGAATAATAGAAGGGTCTTCCGCTGAAGACGGAAGACCCTAATAATAATAATAAGAAAAGTGAAAAATCAACAATAGAATAATAGAAGGGTCTTCCGCAGAAGACGGAAGACCCTAATAATCTTAACCATCAGAATCAGTAGAAGGTCTTCCGTTGGAACGGAAGACCTTAATTACCTTGGCAATTATTATTCCCATAGACCGAATGTTATATTTATGTTTAAAAATTCATAGAATAAATGTCAACTCAAAATAAAAAAAAAATGCTGAAAAAGCTATATATTTTTATCCTAAAAATGTTATGTTGCTGTGTGTCCTCCGTGATATATTCTCTTCTTTTTTAATTTATTTTCTGTCATGTCTTTTGTTTTGTATATGTACATGTACCTCTGACCAGTTTGTATATACTAGTATTATATATATGTTATCAATGTACCCCATGTACCAATATTTTGGTTTGGGCGAATAAATTGAACTTGAACTTGAAGAACTGAATGTTTTGGAAGGTGCATGATGTATGTGTGTATTTACCTATTTTATTATATAAGAAATTAAAACATTTACACAGAGAAAGCATCAAATTAAAATTTGTAGTAAAGCTCGTTTACACAATTTCTGTACCTGATAGAGCTTGATGTATTGCATTACCAATATTGTTTTAGAAGAAATATTATATTTGTCGATTGAAATTGTGTATTCAAGTATAAGCAATTATTTCGAAATGAAAAAAAAAAGATAATTATAGAGTATATCATACTTTCACTTATCTTATAATGTAAGAAAATGTTAAAGCGACACTGTAACGCATAAACGGGAAAATGGACAACAATAGAATTTTTGCATGACCCGTGTAATTTTTTTTTTAAATTCCTGACAATATTAGGTTTCAGAAAATTACAGGTTTTGGAACCTAAAAAATCTACTTTTAAAGAGAAAGAAATAACTTTTGCCTGGTCCAAGACGAAAATATTACTTCACTCTTCCTCCGTATTGTACGCATGCGTAGAAAATTTGGAGAGTTGTCATGGTCTCAAGTACCAAAAATGAATGTCGGTAGACCAAAAATTTTGATACAACCTTCAAAATGAATTATTAGAACATATTTCTCACCTCCTCATTCATCAATTCAATGTTATTTAAAGTTTATACTGAAGTAAAAGTTGACCTGGACATGCACGATAACAATGAAACGGTAGATACGACCTTTATTTTTTCGGGACATATTTGCAGTCTTTTTTCTTGTTTTACAGTGCAGTTGAGTTTGTCATATCTTTGTTATACTTACATTTTCAATAACTGTTTCGCTCTATGATACATATATCGTTAAAAAAAACACGATTTTGACTCATTTAGTAAGTTTAATATGATAACATTGAATGTTTCAAGGCAGCTCTTAGTTGGAATAGAAATAATGCAAAAAGCCCAATATTTATAATGCATTGTATCTATCATTGCATTTTTTATAATTGAAGGTGGCAGAAAAAACACAGATGTATTTTGTTGTAAAACAAGAAGCAGAGATCGAAGTCACGCTTGACAGAATTATCGAAAAGAAAGGCAGCATTGACCTTGCATTGCTTTATATAGTATCAAAATTAGACACCGAAAATAAGGTAAATAATTTCTGTAGCACGTAACGCATGATGTACATCATCTAAGAAAAAAAATCATTCTTACTAAAGAAGTCTTTTTTTGTGATTCTATACCCCAAAACGCTTCCAAAAAAGTAACTCTTATTTCAGGTACAAATGCTAATCAATAGCTTACTGCACCGTGGTGCTAACCCTTCTGCTAGGGACAATAATTTGTGGACACCATTACACTACGCCGTCAGGAAAAACTATAAAGGTGTATGTTCTAAACTATTGGAGCACGAAGCCTTCCCAAATGCACGTGACAAAAAAGGGGTTATGCCATATACACTTGCCTTCGAGGCGGGAAATGATGACATTGCCGCGATGCTCATTACACACATGAAAAATGAATTGTGGGTAACAAATGTTTCTTCGATTCAATGTTTCTTCGTAGAGTGCTATTGATTAACCTATATTAAGGATGCACGTATTTTGTCAATATCAGTATTATTTCTATTACAGCGTCCGTAAGATACACACCAGCGATGGGAATGTGTTAGCAGAATTTAGCTTTCATGCTCTTTTGAACAAAAATATGCAGGTATCTGCAATTTGTAACTAACCTTAAGCAAAGCATTTTGGAAAAAGGCTTTAACAAATTTTGCTATTATGGACAAACAAAATGCAATCGGACATTGGTCACTCTGAAATGTAAAAACTTTCATACTAATGCAAGAAAAAAAATCTTAAAATCGATCATATATTTTCATGAAATCACTATGTTTGTGTAAAAAAAACTTAATAGTAGCAATTGTTACGTCATTTAAGAAAACAGTCATGGCCATTTTGGATTGCATGATAGACCCAGTCAGCCCAAGTGGTGATGTATGTGTGTATTACAATGTCCTAGAGGCAGATGAGAATGGACGAGTTCCGAATGATTCAAATTTCAATCCACTATCAAAATCTGGTCTTCAAATCATAGCTAAGAGTGGCAATAAAGCAAGTGTTTCAAATATACGTAATTATTATTCATATATCAAATTAAGAAATGCCACTAGTTCTTTTATTATTTTTATTTCATTTCAATGTATTACGTTCATCATTGTTTTAGAATGTCTCATGTATTAAGGACACCTTGCTTTTCTTTAAAAACAAAACTCTTTGCTTTTTTAAGACTATAGTGTACCATGATGTTGTTCGTTTACTCATACGCAGGAAGTGGAAAGAATACGTTAGACTCAAATTTCTGTAAGCTGTATTGCAATATGAATAATCCTTTTGTAAAACTTTAAAAGACATGTAAGATGTACACATAAGGGTATTCCAAAACCTTTTTTTTTCTCATTTTAATTGCAGAATAAACTCTATATTCTACATAATTTCCCTGATAACCATTACGTTTTCCGCCATTGTTGCCAGTTCGACACCTGATCCATCTGCTTATGACCTTTCTTCACCACAAGTTGCGCGCGCATTCTGTGAAGTTTGGTCGCTTGGAATGGCCATTCTTATCCTTTGCTCAGAATTAAATCAACTGCGTAAGTACGTATGATTCAATTTTACAGTACATATTTATGAAATTTATTTCCTCAACAAGTAGAGGAAAAGTCAAACACAGATTTTCGCAAATGTGCGTTTTAAATGAAATTACCGTATGCTTAAATGATTCAAGAAATAATTATCCTTAAGTAATAGTACTTATTCTAGTTATAAATGTGGTTGTTAAGATGCTATTAAACAATAACTCTTCAACAAAGAATAAAGAAAATGTCTTTAGCTCGCTCATATAAAACAGACACTGCGTGCATTCAAGAACATACTTTCCATTTCTAGACATCGTTTGGAATATTGGCAGGATGCTTTTAACTTTATCGATCTTTCCTCGTCCATTTTGATAATCCTCGTCTTACCATTACGATTTACCCAAACGTCACAGCAATGGTTAGTGTTCTCAGCTGCCTATCTCCTGTGGACCATGAGAATTTTCAAATATGCTGCTGTTTTTAGGTGAGCATAATACATGAAGTGCAGTTATGTTTTGATCTTCTTTTTTATGTCAGAAAATGTGAATGTATAAATAGAATAGATTAACTTTACTGTAGATGTAGTCTTGAAACGTGTAGTTCACGTGTTCTTTTATTACCTGTACTTATTGTTTAGTTCCGTACATTCACACAACATCAACAACTTGGTTTCAGGTTGCATATACATGAAACCAGGGCTGATAATAAGTATGGAACCCAAAAAGATTCATTCTAAATATTTCCATTTTCTGTTTTTTTTATTAGCATAACAGGAGAGACAAAAACCCGAGGGACACACATTTTAGTCTTGATATTTTTATACGTCAAGCATATTTACAAAAATTTTAGTGTTTGTGTTGCTTATGTTAAGAATAGTTTAAGGCATACACAAAAAATGAGAACAAAATGAATTGGATGTGGTTATAAAACACATGTAAACTCAATACAAAGCACAATATGCTTAAATACACATTTATAAATGCAATTTTTCTTAAAATATATCATACAGCAACACTATTAGTATTCTGCCAACTACAGAATAATGTATTCTAAACAGTAATGTTGAAATTTATATACTTTTTACTTCCTATAATTTTTTTATTGGCATGGGACCAAAATTTTGGCAGATTTTGATAATGACTCGCATGTTTATTTCTTCCAAAAGTTTATCCCATCGGCAAGGCAAGAGATTGCTCTGAGAACAATCAATTTTCAAATCGAGGCAGTCCACTGACAAATACGTTGATGCTTAAAAGGTATCAACAATCTTGTTTAAATTTTTCGCATTCTACGGTCGATGCAATGACTTTGTTTACAAATACAACCTGATGATAAGTCGATGTTTTACTGACGAGTTTAAAACAAATAAAGTGTTAATCATGCCACTTTTTTCGTACTAAATTGTCTTCAGATTACTCCGTTTACCCGATAAAGACAAATGGTTCATGGCGGCTGTGAGCGGTTGACACGGTACGCTTACTCCTCCATGCCATCTGATCCCAACTCTAATGTTTTCAGAGGTCCATATTTGCCCTGCTCTCAATTAATATTGTTTAATTGGACTTTTGAGCATGGTTACTGTTTGTTATCTTTACGTTGCGGGCTCAAATCCCACTGCGGGACATGGAGACCGGTCTATCGGATTAGACCGTATAAACCGAGGTCCCGTGTTGCAGTAAGTGCTGGCACGAAAAAGATCCCTAACTGCTCAATGGTCCTAAGTGCCGAGAATAGGTCTAAACTTGTAGCCCTCCACTGGCAAGTGGTGGTGTCTCCATATATGTGGTAAATTCTCGAGAGGGACGTTTAACAATAAACAAACAATAGCGAGCAATAAATTGATGTTTTAATGTACCATAAATAAAGAAAAATATATCTCTCATTTTAAAAGATTCACATCGTCTCCTTCTATAACAATTGATACAACCGTATCGGGAAAAAGAAAGCATATCTTAAAACATGTATTAATCGAACCCGTAGTACAATGTACCTGGGAACTAAATATATTTGGGTCTCCTAATTTTGAAGATATTTCTGACAAGACCCCATTCTAAATGTCTTTTCTTCAGACAAACGGGAGCATATGTCCAGATTTTATGGAGGATTCTTATTCACGATATTTTCCAGTTCACCACATTCTTTTTCTTCATCCTCTTGGCTTTCAGTGGTTGTCTTCTGTTGTCCCTTCGTGGAGAAGGTTCATTAGAACAATTTCATGAAAGCAGGTAACATATAAAACCTAATATAGTATCGTCAAAAATTAAATTTCTTCTTATAGAAATGCTAAGATTAAAAAGGTTAACAAACCGTACATTATCTTTTAATTAAAGAACATCAAGGGCTTCAGTATATTATTTTGGATAATTTAAATATAGAAAACGTCATTCTACAGAAAACCGAGTGTCGGATAGGGCTAAATGTTATAGTTTCTGATTTTCTATTCCTTGTCTCCTTGTCTTGGAAACATTCAGCTTTGTTAATGTAATATTGTTATTTTATATCTTGTAGTTCCTTTTGGCATATCCTGTTTCTTGGTGGTAGGATCCTGATAGAGGCTGAACGAATTGTAGAATATACAGAACTTCAGTAAGGGTCTAATAAAATTGTGTGCTGGGAATTTTATTTCATAATTTTTTCGTATTTCTATAGAATATACAGGGAAATGTATGAGGATATGTAATTAACCTCTAAAGAAGATTTATATTTAATTCCATTGTAGGACTATGAGTCTTATCATCATGGTGGTATTTCTGTTTACAATCTGTGTACTTCTAATAAACATTCTGATAGCCCAACTCAGTGACACTTACCAAAATGTCCAGCAGGACGCTCAGAGGGGGTTGGAAGTCAACAGAGCTTGGATTGTTGCTAGGGTCGAACTGAATAGTCTTTTTTTCGGCAAGGTATGAACACTGCTTTGCATATTTTAAAAAATCTGAACTAAAATAATAGTTCAGAAAACTAAAATTAAGACTTTTGGAAATATTGCATTTAATTTCTACATATTTATTTGAAGAGTATTTTTCTGCTAAGTGACGAATTCTGATTTATCAAAATGCACTTACACATAAAATTAAAATGGTATTTCTGAATACTTATCCAATAATGTTAAAGTTTGAAATATATTGTAGGGACATCGAATAACACATTACAAAGAAAATGAAAACATTTATGATATAAGAGATGTCCTAGAGAAATGGGAAAGTCCTCCACTAAACGAAATCAACAAATGTATTCAAAATATATCCGAGGATCTTGATTCTCACAAAATGAATCTTTTCACGGTTAAAAAAAGAGTGGCAAGACAAGAAGCAACCTTGTCTAAAATCCAGTAAGTCGATTTATGGTCTGTTTACTTTTTTTCTTTTTATTAATTTAAGATTAAAGGAAATATAATTTCTTGGAAAACATTTCTTTTTTATATATTATTTTAAATGTTCGTTTCAGAGTGAGTCTGGATAAGCTTTTGGAACTGGAGGAAAAGAGACAAAGGCAAAATTTGAGACGTTCATTTACTATCCTATAACATACAAACTTCAAACCCCAGATTATTTATATTATTTCCGTATGATAAAAAACACGTGTTATACTTTAAAAAATATGTGTTCCTTTATATATCTTAACTAATAAGTCTAACATTTCCAATGTTTTACTGAGCGGTCATAAAAAAAAAAACGATGTTTGACCGCGGAGTGAGATATTGGACTTTTTGATGAGATATTGGACCACTTTCGTCACACAATGGGCGGGATCTACTAAATCTCATTTGCATTCGTTTGTGTTCGACAGTGACATAATTGACCAAGTTTAATATTAGTGCTGGTAAAGGAAATTTTCATCACGAAAGCTAGCACATGATACATGTATGTCAATAAATAAATAAATAAATAAATAAATAAATAAATAAAAGGTAAGACAAAGCATTTATTGACTGTGTTCTCGGGCAAAATGCGTTTTGTCAACCCCTCGAACGAAACTGATTCTGGGTCTTGGGTCCGACAAAACTCATGTTGCCCTCGAACCGAGTAAATAAATGTATATTGTTTTCCGTCTGATATCGGTATTTCACTGATGATTGTGTGTGTGTTTTGTTTGATTGTTAGCTTTAAAATGTGGGCAGTGGTTGCTTGTCTTTATTTTCATTTAGGTAGTACGTACACTTTAATTGAAAAAAAGAGAAAACCGAATCAATACAATTACAATGTATAATGATAAGAGATTTCTTTTTATAACTTAGGTTCTCCTTGAAAAAAAAGTATTGAAATTGCAGTTCCACTACACTTCTGTTGGATAAGTCTTTGCGCACTGGCAAATTCCTTCGTGTTTTAAAACATGCATATGTGATTCCTGTCTTTAAAATGAGTGAAAAAACAAACCCAAATATAAGGGGAAAATCTTTAAAAGTGTAATATATGTAACCTAGCTGCAATCATGTGTGTGTGTGTGGGGGGGGGGGGGGGGGGGGCAAAGTTCTTGTCTATCTTTCCAATCGATTACAACGTATCAAAATTTTAAATATTCAATTTCTTTAGTGGGAAGAAAGGAAGCTGGACTTTCCCAGGACTCTGTTTTTGGACCTCTATACTTTTCTTAGTTTATATATATGACCTACCATCTTGTTCCTTGGGACTTTCTATGCTATTTGCAGATAAAACATTTGTGAAAAGGATCAGTGCACTTAAGCTATGAGAGTTGGATCCCGGTGCTTTGCCAATAATAAATTTCCGAAATTTATAAACTTTTTGAATCAGAATTATTTAACAAAATCTTTAGAGCAGGGTTTGATATATTATATCACATAAAAATATTAAATAATGCCGAGCGACACTGGTTTTCGCGACAGGGGTCTAGCAGTTTTGTCACATTTCTATTGTTATTCATATGCATACCAGTTTTCAACGACATTGTTTACATCGAGCCGCAACTTGTCCATTCTTCTCATTTGCACAGATTGTGTATTTTTATCTAAACTTATACATATCCAAAGGGCAATGTTGGACAATTTGCGGCTCATATGTATTTTTTTAAAAAATTCTCCAAACTACGGTCGGGTTAGCTACTAAATTAACAGGTCACCGAGTGTCAACCTATTTTGACCTGTTTGATATTATAATCATTTTACTCACGTGACATTCCACTGTTCGATATGCTTTCATTGTGTCTCTCAATAGACTTCAGGGCTGTACACACGGATATGTATTTAAGTACAAAATCTGACTATGTATGGACTTTTAATACAGTGAATCCTAAGATTTTTCGAATCTTGTAAAACTGTATTAAGAATAGGGCAATGCTCTATTTCTAAATACAAGTCTTAACTTACCTTTCATTTTTAAATCAATCAAAAGTACTCACGTTGTGGTTATCCTATTTTTATCATAACAAAAATAGCACGTGGTAAATAATGGTCGACTTTAGCAGTAAAAATATCGAAAAACTCGTTGTTTTATGGGAAGAAGATCAAAAGGAGTAACTACATGTAATTGTAAAAGTTGCTCAAATGCAGCGTTATCTATTCTAAAGAAGTTTTTATAACTACTGAGGGCCGCTGTTTCCATTACGATGTTTTTTTTTTTTCAGTTTTAATGCAATGCATAATACGATAACAGATACTGCTAACAGAACTTCGTTTTCCATTATTGAGAGAGAGAGAGAAATATTGCGAGGGAAACACGTAGACATCCCTAAAGTCTATTAACAATCTAATAAAACGTATAAACGTGTGTACAGGAAAGTATCATAATATAAATATAATACTTGTATTATACAATAACTACAAATCTCACCGTTTGTACCGGCCTGAACACTTTAAAATAGCACTTGAAGAATTTTGCGAAAATTTTATTAGGGTCTTAAAGTTTACCTTGTCTTCTTTCACTAAATTGTGTTTTTCGTTTGGTATTTTGAAGGAAATTCTGGTATTGCCAGTGCAAATCAAGTGCACGATTAGTATGTAGCTGTGTTAGCTCATGTCGCCTCTGTATTATGGTCTGCAGGCATCTACAGACACATCCCTAAAAACTAGTATATCATACCTGACAATATTTGGATTGCCGAAATGAAAGAGATATTGAAGGCATAATCGAGTGATTATCGATATAGTAACGTTGTAGAATTTTCGCTGACCATGTTTTTTTTAATCTGAAATATACTTGTACCGTCAATAAATGTTAATTTAAATTACAGATAGTTTGTATTTCTTGGAGTTTTCATGTTAACCTAGCGACTCAAATTTTAAGTTAAAATTTTATATTTCATTTCCGAATGTTATTTATCTAAACATGCATATAATAAAATATGTATCACCGTGAGTACTACATATATAATTTGTTTCACTACACGTACGTTTGTATTACTCTACGTACTACATGTACAGTGAATAATTATGATTAAATGTAGTGTGACATCGAAGTCATGTAAATGTGAATCTTTCTTAAAACATACATTCATTCTTTGAATTGAAAAGCATTCAGCATATAAAACGAAATATGATAAAGCTAAAGAAAAAAGAGGGAGCATTTTTTATCATACACGAAAACTTAAGATTGATCTAATTCGGTGCTAGGCATCAAACATATGGAAACGAATCATGAAAATGGTCAATATGTATGGCCATGAATCATTTACTATTTGTGTGAATCATGAAACTACACAATCTTTCTCTCCTCCATCTAAATTCATACTGTAGAATCAATCTGGAAATAATGTGATAATGTTTACATTCCACTTCCATGCGATTTAAATATCTCCGCCCATTTGCGGGTACCTTAAATTCGAAAGTGGTCCAGTTCAAATTTCCGGAATTTAAGGCTTATACATGTTCTTTTCTATGACGTTGTGTGGAATTATAGCAATATGTTTAACAAAAAATTCGAAGTATAAATATCAAAAGCATATGTATGCACAATAATCATAGATTAATTTAGCAATATAGTCTAATTTAAGGCTTAAAATGGGTGGCCGAAAAGGCTCCAAATGACACTCTAAAGTGCACTCATTCTTTGCCGAAAAAAAAATACTGATCACGAGTAAAATAAATTAACGAATTTACAAAAATGCTTGTGAAATTATATTCTAATAAAACTATAATATTAATATTTGGCAGTAATGAAAATGAAATGTCTAACTTAGTCTTTTTATTATATGATTAAATATTTCCCATCTCTCTGATTGGCTGAGATCTAACATTGCAGGAAAAAAAATACAATGTTACGTGACCTTCCAGGTGAACATAACAATTTTTTTCTACATTGAACTAAAAATACATCGGGAAATTCCAATTTTATACGAATAGTTTTGTAAAACTATTTCATTTGAACCCGACTCCCACTCAGTTGGCCATTACATTTGATTTAGTAAAGACATACTCCTTAAAAAGATCCCCCCCCCCCAGTTCATGGACTTTAACATCCCCCTAAAATAAAAATTGGAGGTGGGAGAATATTCCTCTTAGAGAGGCTAAAGATTTTTTCCTGGTAAGTTGACATAAAAAAATTTCAGTGATTTCTGGTATAGAGCAAGATCACTCATAATTCCGTGTAAGAGCTCAAATTAAACGACTTAGCACGTAAAGGTACGGGCCAATTGATGTTACAAAGTGTTTTTACACAATTAAATTGCTCTTATATAAAGAGTATATGGTATTTATAAAAATACCTGTAGATTGTTGGAAGACTTGGTGTGCAAAGACTACATACATTTTGTCAATGAGGAACTCCAGCATCTTCTTACAATGTAATACTGTATCAATCTCAGAGTACTTGTGTACAATCACAGTGATTTTAAACAAAGTGATTTTGTAAATGAACAGTCATAAAATATGACTAATTCTGAGTTCAATTTTTATAGATAAAGCAGTTGTCTATGATATCAAAAAGCTTATTTTTCAATCTATCGTGGGAAATGGTTGTATAAATTGTCGAAAATTCGTACATTTTGATGATTCCAACTTTTGAAAAGTTTTTTGCGTTAAAATCTTTTGAAGGCTCCTTGGAATTTTTGGGGAATCCATATTTGATTTACACCACCTCTAGAATATCTTAAAGCACAGTACGTTTGAAGTTTCGCCTTTACAGCAATTAGTATTTTTGGGAGGAGTAACGATAGGGGCTTGGTAGAGCATTTGTTGGACCATGCATCCTTGTAAGATTTCTATGAAGTTTAGGGATCAAGTATAGATAGAGAAGATTTAAACTCACTTTCTTTAAATGGAATGTTTACAGATTTAAAAGAATGAAATGTTAATGATTTATGTGTATTTACACATTTAAATCACATAGTATTGTATAGTAGGATCTATTGGCTCTATTCAATTTATCGTGAGGAATGGTTGCTTGTACAAAATGAAAAGGTCGTACATTTTAATGATTCTGACTTTTGAAATGTTTCGTGATTTTTAATTTTCTAAAGGTTCTTTGGAAATTTTGAGAATCCACATTTGATTTAAACTCCTTGTCGAATATGTTTCGCATAGTACGTCTAAAACAATTTCACCTTTTTCTATTTATTTCTGAATTAAATCCCCACCCACCACCACCACTATACACACACGTGCAGCACATTCTTATTAATAATTAATTGATTCAGCAAAATATACCAATATTGTTCAGAAATCTACATGGATACTTCTGTGTTTTATAATGGCTAAATATCTAGCTCATCTATCCAATTAAAAAGATAAGCTTGTCACAATTCTCATTGTCTTCCCTTCTCGCCGGTGAATTCGTTAAATGTTTCTGCACTATTTTAGTAGTTTGATAAATAGATTGAAATTGATTTATTTTGTGTCAAAATCTAACACCACGACCAGATTTTTAAACTGTTTATACTATATTGGCAACACTGGGTTCAGGCATATTACAGAATTGCTTCACTGATACTATATTATCAACAAAACTTATTTTATTTCTTTGACACAAAACACATTTCAAAAAACATAAATTGTAAAGAATTTATTTTTTCTTTAAACTTTCCGTTTGAACAGAAAATCCAGTATTATATCTGGAAGCCAGAGAAAGATGACCATGTGTGTCTGGCGTACCCTCCGCCTCCATACGCTCTGATCCAGACTTCATCATTCTTGTTCATTTCTATATTGGTTGTTGCTGATCCAGTTTCGTAGTTGGAACTGCCATCTCTGCCGTTTCGTGGTTGTAACTGAAAGGCTTATCATTGATTACGATTTCTGTGCTTAAATACTTTCCAGCATTTGTTGCAATGGTCCACGTAAAAGAATATATTCCATTTCCAGGAGCTGTAAACTTTCCAGTGGCTGCATTGTAAGCATTTCCAGAGTTTAATGTTACCTTTTTGAAAATGATAACAGCATTTTTTGCGGGCCGTTGCTGATCAGCTGTCAATAGGGCATTGAATGCAATCAAACCTTTGGAAAACAGAGAAAATGATAAAGTTCCAAAGCAAGCCACGTGTTTGTACAAATCTAGATCTGAGAAGACTTCATCAGGTCTAGATATTAATAAGCTAGCCATGATAAGAAAGGAAATAAAATTAGGTCACCTGAGTCACTCAAGTAACCTACTGCTATCTCTATTTTTCTGTCATGCGTCGTGTGTTTACTTTTGTACATTTTCAGCTTCTTCTCTGAAAGGGCTGAACTAATGTCAACCAATTTTGACATTTAGCATCTATGGGTAAAGGGAAAAAAATATTGAAATTCATGGACCCTGCCCCCCCCCCCCAGGACATGAGGAGTGGGGCTAAAACCACCAAAATTAAAAATCTTCTTTACTCCTACAAATCAAGCAGTCAAACTATTAGCATGATTGAAATAAACATTAAGCCCTCTACCTAAAATGTGAAATTTATGGCCCCAGGTCAGGGGTTCTGGTGCTAAGGTGGGGCTCTCTTGAATATTTAGTGAAAATGCATTATTTCTTTTTGAAAAAAAAACGTCTCTTCTGCTTTTTGCTATATAGAAAACGAGCTAAATGCATAGTTATCTAAGCAAGGATGCCTCTTCCAAAATTGTGAATTTCATGGCCCCTGGGTCAGGGATTCTGATTTTAGGGCAGGGCTCTCTTGATTATATGGTAAAAATACATAAATACTTTGAAAAACTTTTCCACTGCTTCTTAGTATTAAGCAACAAACTAAATGCATTGTTATGATAAGCAAGTGTGCCTCTTCCCAAATTGTGAATTTCATGGCCCCTGGATCAGGGGTTCTGGTGGTACGGCAGGGCTCTAATGATTATATAGTGAATGCATTTATTCTTTGAAAATCTTCTCTGCACCTGGATTTTAAGCCGATGAACTAAGTCCATGGTTTAGATGAGCAAGGGGGCCTCTTCCAAAATTGTGAATTTCATGGCCCCTGGTTAAGGGGTTCTGGTGTTTGGCTTTAATGATAATATAGTATAAATGCATTAATGCTTTGAAAATCTTCTCCTCTGCCCCTAAGTATTAAGCAAACAAACTAAATGCAATAATGTAAATGTATAATTATTTTAAAAAAAAAAATGCCTTTTCTCTGCTCCTGGGTGTTTTGGAGGCAAACAGAGTACAAAATTGTAAAAAGTGAAGCGCATAAGAGTTTCTTCTCTTTGCTAAATTGTATTAATCAAGAAATTAACAGGTTATTTGATTGAATGAATATACAAAAAAGAATAATATATAATATAGGAAGGAAATAAAAATGCTTTAAATAGCAAAGCGTGCTCTAAGTCAGATTCTTGCCTGTAAAGTATGATAAAAGATTGACATTAAGATTATTTATGTAGCAAAATAACTAAGTGTACTAAGTAGGTGTATATTGTGGCATCCTATTTGTTAATTATTGATTTATTGTCAGGTAAAGCCATGCAGTCCATAGTTTAATTGGTAAGAGACTGCATAAAGTTGTTTTATATTTTATCATAGTGACTAAGTCATAATAAAGAGGCAGAGTGGCTAGGGGACATGTTGTAGGTGACACGTGGCAAATAGCTACATTGTATAGCCAGGCGGCGAGTGCTGGTAACAGGTATTACCAAGCTGTTTGTAAAGCCAAGAGGCAAGTGTTCGTACCAAGTGTTAACAAGAGGCAAGTAGCTAAGCTGTTTGTGCTAAGAGGCATCATCTTGAGTAAATATACTGGCATTAGAGATTCCTCTTTGTGTACTTAATTGTAGCACCAGACAAGTGACAAAAACACATCTGTATATTTTGAATACCTTAAAAACTGGGCAAGTGTCCATTGCATTTGTATTTTTTTGCATTCATTCACATCCTTGTAAGACTTGGGCAAACCAAGTACGATCCCAAGGAGATCGCTCAGGTTTTGCATGTTATAATAAGCACGTGTATTTTTACCAGATTCTTGAAATTCCTGGGTAACATACTTCCTCTGTCAGTTATTTTTGTTTTATACTTCTATGGATCATTTACACTGTTGTATTATACTATATACTATATATTATAAGTGACCGTGAAGGTCCTTGAACCTCTTGTATCATTCGCCAGAAGATTTCCATGCTTAGATCAACAAAAATATTGTTATGTTGTTAGTATCAATGTGTATATTCATTGTATAAATTTAAATATTTATTTAACATGAAAACGTAAAATCAATTTTACCCTTTCCTTTGCAGCGTTTTTCTTCAAATCCCATTCCTTTACAGACAGTGTCGTATTTCTTGAAGTTGCTGATAAAATCTGAGGTATTTTCTTCCCATGTACTCCTAACAGGAAGGTAAAAACGAGGAATATCGCCGGGCTTTGAAAAAAAACTTCAAAAGCAATATAATGGGCGTTATAATGGGTAAAATTCATGCTAACATTTGAAGAGAAACTCTTTTAAAATGTTATGCAGTTTCATTAGTTGTTAAATTTTCTTTTGAAACCTTTCAGGATATATATGAGATCAGCGAATGTGACATGACAGTTCAGTGACTGAAAAAGGTATAACCTAACAATAGCTAATCATTGGTACACGTGTAGCTCATACTTGGTCAAAAAAATTCTTTATGACTTGGCGGAAAATGTATAAAATTCTTGTCAAGGCTATAACTTAGCAATGGGAATTAATGGACTTTGATGACCTAAGGGTGTGTCATGACCTTGATCCAATGTCATTCCTGCATGTTCAGGGTCACCTTGTATGAAAAATTTGATCTAAAAAAATCTATAAACAATACAAATTTGTGAACAGAGCATAAACACGAACCTTCAGAAATTCCATAGATGGATAAAAAGTGTAAAAAATATAACGTCTATAATTGTCTAATGGAAAAACATTGGATTTCTATATTTAACTAAAAGATTATGCATAACCGGAGGATGTGTCTTTCTTAAAAATATCTTTTTGCCAATAATATTATAATAATATATACAATTTATAATAAATAAACTCTTTTTGTTAACATTTACAACATTTGAACTGGTACCGTAAAAGAATTGGGGAAGAGAGTATTACTTTGTGAGCTCGCTCACGTATCTCTAGTTTATAATTTGGAACTGGCCTCTGTGAACTTCTGCATTTCACTAGAAAAAATACTCAAAATAAGTCGGAGTATAATGCACATACACTTATATGTATTATATAGTTTACTTACATGTTTAAATTGCAAGCTTAAGCCAATTGATAAAATCTACATAACATTTCCAATACTTATCTATAAATATAATCTATGCTATGTAAATGATATATATTCAATAGCCAAATCCCCCTATTAAAATGTAACATGAGAATCTTCCTCATCTGTTTTACCATATGTCTCAGGAGTCGTAATTCATAAAAATAGAGCAATTCATCAAAAATGCTTGAATCTTTGCTTTAAGGTTCATTGGTCTGCAATGTTCCTGTGAAACTGTTTCTGTAGAGAAATATGTTATTTTCAAAACCATGAGCCGGTTGATTTTAAATGATGTTTCATCAACCGAAAAGAATATTTCTTATAGATATTTTTTTTTTGGGGGGGGGGGGGGCTTTAAATAAATGGCATAAAAATGATATTGTGCTAATAGCTCACAAAACGTGTCGTAGGCACACATGCAGATCTAATGGCCACAAACATGTATCTCTTTCTTCGGGGGGGGGGGGGGGGGGGGTAAGAAGATATTAAGAATTATTAATGTTTTTTTTCTTCATATTTATTTCCCAGACCTATAACATTAAAGATGTTATACAGGGCAGCTACCAGGGATGGGGCCCTGACTAAGCTCCCTCTATAACAAAATATAATAGTAAACCCTACAGCACCATGCAGGGTGCTTAATATCTAAATACAATGTCTCACATATTTATTCATATCATACATTCAACAGGTATATTAATTAAATTGTATAACATATAAAAACAAACAATAGCTATCCGGATGCAATTTTGGTTCTAAATTTCTTGTTCGTATGTACAATCCGGTGTGATTCATGAATGTGTTGCAATAATGAATAAATGGAAAAGAAAAAATACATTGAACTTAATTTAACGCTGGAGTGTGGAAAACAGGTACATGTGACATTTCATCAAACTCTGTTAGTACATTTAATGTTAAATTCATATCTCCCTTAAAATTGCGTTTATCATTCTCTAACAATTGAAAAATTGATTTCATTTCAGTCGTGAATGCTTTTAGGAGCAATGAAGTAGTAATTTTTTATCTTCATATTTGCCATTTGATAAATCCATAATACGTAATTTTTCTTCGGTGTATAAGATGTTATGCAAACTTTCCATTGGAATTCTTGAATTTTTTGTTTTAATTTAGCTTCGTAAATTGACCCCCAAAGTATTTCCCATGTAATGTCAATTTGCATTAATTTATTATTTATTTATCTTGACATCCCATTTTCCTACAATTTTAATAAGATCACAACATGAATTTTATATGCTGAAGAAAGTGTCCTATTCTTCACAGATTGAAAAAATCGCTCCAGAGCTTTCTTATAAAGACATTAATTTCACGTATAATATTTAGGTAAATCAAATATCCTATATTAATGTATAATATTCAACTTTAACTCAATGTTCAACTTTTCGAAATGACAAAAATGATCAATAATGTAAAATGAAATATGGAGATAACAAACGGAAATCAAGCTCAAAAGACCATTAAAACAATACAAATCGGGAACAGAGCAAACACGGACCTCTAAAAACATCAGAGGTTGGATCAGGTGCCATAGAGGAGTTACAAATGGAGCACTCCCTGTTGACCGGTCACACCCGCCGTGTGTACCTTGTTATGATCAGGCAAACGAAAATCCGTAGACAACTCAGTGTGTAAGTAATGACATAACAATGAAAACGTCATTAAGCATTCGACTTAATGATAGATGATTAATGATAAAAAAAAAATGTTACGAATATAGTTAGAATTTCCTCGACCATACATTAGAAAATTTACATTATCCTTGAACCAAGCGCCTATGCTCCCGACTCAGGATAAAAAATTTCGATAGGTAGGGAGAAAATATTGTTTTTCAAAAATTTTCAAACATATTGAAATATTGAAGGATTAAATGAAATTGCAAACGTTTTTGAGGGATAAAAAATTCGAAATGAATTAAAAAAATAGTTATTTCCTGGAGGTTTAAAAAAAATTTTAATGGTCGGGCAATTTTTATTCAGTCGGTTGGGAGAGGGCAGACATACATTTTTTGAAGATTGTCCAACACAATATTTCCTTGGTTTTTAACCGACGAGTATAAATAACATAAATCTATCGTTGATCGAAATGTTCATATTGAATTTGGTAATTCATACTCCACATTGCCAACAAATGCCATACGAATCGGTTTTATACTCTAATGGTGTATAGAAAGAAAATGTTTGTATCAGAAAAATAATGAACAGATATATTTACCATCTTGGGTAGCAAACAAAGTCGCTTCAGGTTGCAAAACTTTTTTCATGTTTTATGCTTAACTTGGCGTATACATTCTCATATTAAAAGCTGTCGTTATTAACATTTCTGGGTCCTATCAAATTAGATTTCTCTACCTGATTAATGGCGAAGAAATATATATCAAAAACAATGTTTTAATCGATCACAGATTTGAATTTACAAATATATACACTATATCTCTACTATTCCCTGGAGGGAAAGCACCTCTGTTCTTCTTTCCTTTATTAATTGACAATAACGTTTTGATTGTTTTTTTCAGGCACCTATACTTTTTATTACTAATTACCTTAGGCTGCTTTAACCCGTTCCCCATCAACCCTTTTTATTTTATGTACCCTTAATATCAAGTGACACCCGCCTCGAGGAGAGAAGAGGATCTGAAAACAGGAAGACATCATATACAAGTAAACACAAAAATGCCCTAGAGACCCTAAGGGGTATTTGGAATTTCATAGAAACCGCGTACTTAAGCTTCATTACTTAAAAAAATCTATATAAAAATAATTAATTTCAGTGATCAACATTTTCTTTATCATATTTTGTTAAACACTATCTACAAAGAAAGTGTAATGACATATTCATGCGTTTACCTTGTTCATTTCATTTGATTATAAGAAGCATTATAGATATTTGTATTGTTCTTTGACATTTTACTCACAACTGAAATCCAGAATCTCTGCATGGGTAAATATCCTCCTTCATTAACGCATATCTAGCGTTCATTTGCATTATCTAAATTTCCACGTCACAAGCGGCTCTTACGTATATTAAGCACACCAGTTCTGAAAGGCGCTAAATTCATAATAAAGATTAACAAAATTAACAATTATGAGGAGAGTAAATTAGAAAATGTGTGTTATAGGACTGACGACATCCAAAAATAAGAATTCAATACTTAAATGTTCCATAAAACGCTATGTTTTTTAAAGCAATATATATCGCTCCTTGTTATGATATGTAAACAAATTTTTTTAATTGGACTAGTGAACCTTCGGACTTGTGGGCCGTCTGACTTGTGAACATTCGGAATAATGAACCTTCGGGCTTTTTGTGGGCTGTCGGAATATTGAACCTTCGGACTAGTGGGTAGACCCCATTATTTGTTCTCTTCTGTAGATCAATTCTTTTGAAATTCGAAACACTTAAAATTAACCTTCAAAGTTGGCTAAAACAGCATTTTCCCCGTTAAAGCACCGAATTTTGGTTAATTTTGGTTTAAAAAGTCCATCAGGACAGACCTGCCCATAATAAAATTATGATATTTAGATAGGTTGTAATCTAAGAAGTAATTAATTTAAAATAAGATTCTTGTAGGCCCAGGGACACCCCTGCCCTGGAGTCAAAATTCACCTGTTTTTGATACTCTGTTTCATATAAATATACATATTGTTTGCAATGTCAGAAAAGCTTGGAAGTTAGACTGCTGAGTCGCTATACCGTGGCTACTTTTTTTTTTGAGTCCTGGTTCGAATTCACCTAGCCTTACACTTATAATAGTTTTAAATTGTCGTCTATTCAAACATAATTTGATCTTTTTTTTAGGGGCTTGTGTATTTCTTTCAATTAATTTTATATCTTTAATGCATGATCGTTATTAATACACTTGTAAAAGCTATTAAAGAGAAAGGAAATCGTAATTAAGGATATCCGCTTCTCAGGTAGGAAGGATAACTCTTAAAATTATAATTTAATTTAAAAAGTCTCAAAATAAAGCTTGAAATGGAATTTTTTATGCAATTAATTTCATTTCATGCAACTCAATATGATTCAATTTTTATTTTTAAGTCTAAGAAACTGTATTTTAAAAAATTGATATTTGTACCCCATAAAAGTACTTGCTTATTAGCATGATATGAAATTAGAAGTGCATATTCTGTGATGTCTTCCAATAATAGAATAAGCTTTTTACACTGTTATATTACCACAACTGAAGAAAATTTAAGACACTAAAATACAGTATAAGTATAAAAACATACAATTTTCTCTGAATGCCTGGATACCTCTAATTTTTTTATTCTAAAATATATTTGTTGATCAATTTACAACTAGAAAATGCACAGCTGGTGCATTCAGTCGCGTTTGCTGAAAAATATATTTGAGTTTTGTTAATTTTCCCTATATAATATGGTTAACTATAATGATTAACTTCGAAGAAATACCATGGGTCAATACACATTACTTTGTGAATTCAGATACATTTTTGTGAGCATTTTCAATTACTTAACTGCTGATTTTCAGAACCCGAGGATCAGACTACCTTATTTTTTTTTATTCTGTCTGCACTACTAGTACTTCTCTGATTATTGACCTGGAACATAAACGATGACTTGTATTAACTGAGTTAAATATATTTACGACTACATGTACTTTTGAATTAAATCAATTGTCTAATTCCAGATCCCAAGATAAACAATAGGGCTAGATATCCGTAGCTGCACTTTGTTTGAATTTCATAAATATACAAGATACAAGCAAAAAAAATTTAGGAACATAAAACATAAGAAGAAGGAGGATCGAAATGATAGAACAAACCTGATCGTATATATATATAAGTTGCTTATATCAATTTCCCAAGGAAATGTTAAAAAGCACATCAGGAAGAGAAGACTTTAGACATAACGAAATATTTTAAAAAGTAAATATTTTACTTCAAAGGTGGCCAAATAATCGTATAAACCTCAAAAAGCAATAATTGTTTCATTAGATGATTCAAAGTTAAATGACGCAAACTCATCAAGTAAACCATGCCATCTTATTTTTTTACATTTGTTGAAGTTTTAGCCAGCAGAACAATCAGCCTAGCAGAGTGAGGTACGAGGTTAAAAAAATAACCAGTTCAAATCATTTGGAATTGTAAATTTCTATTTTAGGTGCAATGTTAAAAAATAAATGTCATGAACGTGTATTCGATCAATTTATTTAAAAGGGGAGATTAAATGATAAAAATGACAATGAAATTACTCTCTGAAACTATTTGTACACTTTCAATCTGAAATTTCAAGATCTATTTTTAGTCCAATGTAGAAAAATAAATCTCTATCTTCACCTAGAAGGTCACATACAGATGAGCATATTGTAGTATTTTTCTGCAATATGTTGGAGTCGCCTGCATGGCGCAGCGGTTAGAGCGTTTGCTCTAGAGTCATGGCGTGGAGACCGGTCCTTCGGATAAGAACGTATAAACCGAGGTCCTGTGTCGCATTAGGTGCTACTTAGTTAATGTCTCTGAAAATGTCACTTCTATCTCTACATAATACAAGCATTGAGTAGAAATAAAATGTATGAGAAATTAACGAATTACTACATGTATGTATCCTAAATTCATTGACCAGAATGGGAATCGATAAGCATTTTGTAAAAACTAAACTAAAACCAATTCCGGTCCTATAGATCCTCGCTATATTTAAACAAACTGATCATTCAACACAATGTTTCTAAAATAATGTTTTCCTTGTATAATTGCATGTTTACCCTTAGAGGGTTACTTGATACACAGCTTTTGTACTATTGTCTGTATTCATAACATAAGAGAGAAAGAGAGAGATTAACTTTTGTTACTTTATTAAGAAAGCAGTACTTTAGCAAATATACAGATCTCTGAGAGAGAAAAAATCAGAAGAAACGCACCAAAATTAAATACTACTTAATTTCAATACATCGTAGTTTAAGTGCTTGGATAAAAGTGCGAAGTATAATGGTGACATCGTGTATTTTGACGATTACATGTCAATAAACCTTTAGGTCCACTTTTAGGATCACAGGGCTTTTGGCAAATAATCCACTTTACAATAATAACCTTTTCATTGAAAGTGACGAACACACAACACGCCTTGTCCTTCAGCAATTTTAATAAACTTTTACTCGACCTGAATTTCGCTACAATTAAAGCATCATACAATCGATGGGAATGGTCATAATTAAGGATCCTAAATAACAATCAATTGATGCTCAATAAAAGGTTATGAGTCGAGTCATTTTCCTAATGAAGTCCGCAGTTATACAATGTATACAGTGAAGGCACGAAAATGTTTCCTTCATTATTTGTTTTAAATAGCCATTCATCATTTTAAAAGAAGCTAGGCTCAAATTAACAATTAAAAATCTGGCGACTTTGTGCCAACGTGATATGCGTTTTATCATGATGACCACTTACATGTTAGGCCCGTTTGGGTGGGCTCTTAACATAACCGATAGAAATGTGAACAAGTTTGAAAATACAACAATTTTGGATAACAAATCAAATGATAGTGGTCTGAGATTTTCAACAGCTGAGCTCGTCACAGAAGGAATTATTCTTACAATGATATGTTTTACAGCTGTAGTTGGAAACACCTGCATGTGGATAATAGTAATACGGAATAAGGATCTCCGTACCGTCACAAATTCTTTTCTTTTGACACTCGCCTCAGCTGATCTTATGGTGTCTGTTGTGAATATGCCTGTGACCATTCTTACGATTTTTAAAGGAGAGTGGGTGTTTTCAGATGAAGCATGTACGGCACTTGGATTTACAAATATGCTTACACTGGTCACAAGTGTTTTATCCCTCTGCAATATAAGCATTAATAGATATATCATGGTGTGTAGACCTACAAAATTTAAGACAATATATACCAAACGAAATGCAGCATTTATGATTGCAGGTTAGCAGTTTGATATCTTTAATGATATTTTTAAGCACTCTATAAATATAAATGTACAATAATAATTATAAATGTATGTCACTTTTTGTTATATGACATTCGATATGACGGACGTGAATACAATTTTTTCAGACTGTTTAAGTTACATATTGCCACCAACGAATAGATTATACGCCGTCGTCTGCACGGCGCAGTTGTCTCGTTCTAAAATGGCGAAGTAGGGGGTTCGAATCCCACTGCGAAGCGTGATGATCTGTCCTTCGGATTAAACAGTAAAAACCGAGGTTCCTTGTCGCAGTAGATGCTGGCACTAGAACAATCTCTCATTGCTCAATAGCCATATGTGCTGGTTACAGGTCTAAACATGCAGCCCTCTACCGGCAAGTGGTGGCGTCTCAATATGATTGAATAATTCTATGTTGTGATGTCACAGTGGTTTCGAGTGAAACTGATGAAGTAAAATAATATGGATTCATATATAAAACGGTGATAGTTATGTAAAACGTGATTAAAAGAATCTCATGATTTGCAGTTGGATATGATTTTTATCCAAGTCGTTGTGTTTTTTTTTTTTATCCCCTCGCGCCAAGGCTCGGGGATAAAAAAAAAAAACTCACACACACAACTCCACCGTATACAACGGGTAACGCGGGGGTGTCGCCAAAAAGTGGAAGGAGACGTTTTCAACGTATGGGAGAATATGTTCTCACCGCTTCGGAGACGGAGGGAAATGTGGGCCATGTCTTTTTTCCCGAATTTTTAACATAAATTTACAAAAAAATAAATATTGCATGAGACCAATCTTAATATTATAAATTTCATTTTTTTTTATAAAAATTTTTAATCTTCATTTACAGTTTTGTTCAGCATTCAATTGCATTTACAAAGATCGGAATGTCCAGGTTCGATTCTCATTCCCGGCGCCGCGTCAAATATAAGACATGCAAGGACGCGCCTTTGAATGAATATTTTTAATGTTTGGGAAAAACATGGAAGGGGGACGACCCTCCTGTTGCTACATGCCTATATTATTTTACTTGTTGTAAATATGCTTTATTCATTTTGAATATTTTTGTACAATGTCTGTAAAAAAAAGTAACCACTGAGAAATATTCGTAAAAATTAGATATAAAACAATTGTTCCGTATGAAGATGGATAAAACCTTAGCGTTTCTTTTGACTTTAGTTTGTAGTCGCCTACTACAACAGCAAAGCAGTTTTAAAGCGCTAACTTAAATTAATCTGAACCTCAATTATAATTTCCAAAGATTTTCCTTATTTTAAACTTATCCTCTGAAGTGACTTGGCTATCGAGCCACTGGGAATATCAAGGAAAACATTGAGACACTCCTGCATCATATCCTTCTGCTGCCAATATGCAGATTCATGTGTTAACGCTATATTATGTATATATAATATAAGTACATGTACACGTATACGCTTGTGGGAAAATAGCATGCATAGAAAGGTTATAAAATTGAAAAGTTACCATTTAAAATTAAGTATTGGCACACTGAAAAGAACCTCAATCTACCAACATCGATTTTATACGCTGTTTCACGAGACACACATTTTATAATTTTGGCTTTATTTTAAGAATACGAGGAGTGATTTTTTTTTTTTTTTACTTTTTACCATTAACAAAAAAAATGCAAATCAGAATTGCATAAAGAATTAAATTGATAAGTTGCTTTATTTATTAATCCTTAAAAAATCTGAGCCAGGTAAAGACAATTGTGTTTTTCCTAAAACTTTTCCGCAGGAGTAATTTTAAAGAAAAAAAGAATAGTGAAGACATCCGAGAAAATACTCATAATGATTCTTTACTATTTTTATTCCAATGCCTGCAGCACTGAGCTACTTAAATCAGAGACATTTATGTTTCTGCTTAAATTGTGCTTTTAGGTAAAATTTCTTTTCTTCGAAATTTATTTTTTTGAATAAGTTCTGTTTTATTTTTCATATACGGCAGTAAGTACATATAAAAGTTAAGTTTTTGCCATTATATATATGCATTTAACGTGAATGTTTTCAGTGTTTCTTTCGTCAGGAAATCTTGGACCCACGCCTTGGCTGATACATTCAATATGCCATGTTTTGTGTATTTTGATCCCCGCGCGCTGACCATCGTTTCTGCTTCTGCCAAGTATTGCCCACAATCAACAAGCTGATTATTATGGCAAATTTGGTGCGCATGATATGACCAAAAATTAAAACTTTAAAAGGTTAATATTAATAATATTTCTTACTTATGGTTAGAAGATGATCACCTGAGACCTAAAGGTGTCAGGTGTATTCGCCGAGACTATCTTTGATGGTAGATCATTCCACTCTCTGATGGTCCAAGGGAAATAGGATAACTTTTTACGCAATAACCTAGATACAATGTTTATGTGTATTTTGAAGACCACCACCCCAGCAATCAAACCTCTATTATCCTAATGAACCCTGTGTAGTTTTACTTTAAGATGGACCATTTTGTAATAATAAGGCAGAACGCTCAATTTTGTTTACATCTCTATATTTAGAAATCGTGTCATCGTCAGGTCATTTGCCAGACCACCAGCTTATCGATGGCAGCTTACAATAGGACTTCACTTCCGGAAAACGAACTTAATGTGTCATCTCCCGAGGGAGATGACAATAATATAGATAGTGACTCTACCTTCGCCAAGCACCCGGCATTAGAAGTGAAAGTAAAGTGTATTTCGAATCTGATCATAAAAGAACCCTGTGATGTAACATATTGTCGTTTTGTATATATAGTCGTCGGCGACAATATGTACCTGCCCTCACTGCACATATTGTCGTCCATCGGCGTTAGTTGCTTAAAGATTTCTTTTGTTGTTTTTTGGTAGTTTTGTGAATGTAATTGATGTGTGAATCACACTGACGTGTCTCGTGTGCTATTTGTGCTATTTCATGCAGCGTGATTGTGACGATACATTTTGTCGTCCTGTTCTTATTGTCACCAGCGACAATGTGTACCTACCCCCACTGCGCATAGTTATTGTCGTCCATCAGAACATGTCGTATGACAATGCATGGCAATGCTCAGTATAAATATGATTAATCATTGCTTTGCTGTTTTTGAGAAGATAATTTTAAAGAATTTTCCCATATATTCCTATGTACAACTTTGATCGCCCATCGTGGCCCCACCCAAGGTCCGGTTTGATTTGAAGATACTTGAATCTGTGCTACCTGAGGATGCTTCCATATAAACGTCACTAATCAAGGGCCTACTGCTCTGCTGTTCCTCAGTGGTGGATACAGAAATTAAATTTCAGAACGGAGGGTGGAGGGGATAAGATTTTTTTTTTTTTTTTTTTTTTTTTGAACGGAAAACAAAACATTTGTATGTAAAGGTGTGTTACTGTATAAGTTACGTAAATTATTTAGATATGAAATATTACCTGTGGACTAAATTGAGGGTATATACAAGTTAAACAAACAGAATTTACCGAAGCAAAAAAAATCAAACCACCGGGCGGTGGGGGGGGGGGGCTGTTTGGTTTTTGAAAAGATTTTCTCTGTATATTCCTATGTAAAACTTTGATCACCCATTGTGGCCCCACTCTACCCCTGGGGTTATGATTTGAACAAAATTGATTTTGTTCTTGTTTGTTTGTTTGTTGTTATATTGTCCATCTCGATAATTTTTCAAACGTATTTAGACGTCACCACTTGCCGTTGGAGGGGTGTAAATTTAGACCTATACTTGGCACTCAGGGTCATTGAACATTGAGGGATCTTTTTTCGTGCCAGCACCTCAAAATTGAACGTAAGCTATGTAATGAACTTTCACATAAGTATATATCATCTCTTCTGACCCAGTAGTTCTTGGAAAAATATTTTGAAATATTTTTTCCAAATATTTTATGAAAAACTTTGACCACCAATTGTAGCCACGCCCTTCCCCTGAGGGACATGATCTGAATAAAACTGAATGTACACTTCATAATGAAGCTTTTACATAAGTTTCAACTTTTCTGACACAGTGGTTCTTGTGGAGATTTTTACAAGATGTCACTAAATTTTCACTAACTCTTAACTACTTCCCTTGAAAGAGGGCATGGCCCTTCATTTGAACAAACTTGAATCCCCTGTATCCACGAATACTTTGTGGTAGGTTTGGTTGAAATTGACCCAGTAGTTCTTGAGAAAAAGCTGAAATTGTGAAAGTTTACAGACAGAGGGACGGTCAATATGTGATCAGAAAAGCTCACTTGAACTTCCAATTCAGGTGATCTAAAAATGTCAACCCCGACACCAATTATATCGGCACGTGATTGTATATAAAAATAATGCAAAATATAGTTTCCAATTAATCATTACTACTGAACAAAAAAAGCTAAGACATGTATTAAATCACGAAATATATATTACATGAAAAAAGAATAGGCTGATTTATCAGATATCTCAAGAATTACGGTATCTTGACATATCATAGTGATGTACATCAATCCTGTACACAATTTTCTGGCCAAAAAGTTTTCTCCCTACAGTATTGCGAGTAATGCTGTCTGTCTCCCTCTGTGCGTGTGTGTGTGTTTGTCAATCTCTCTTTCTTTTCTTAAGTATATATTCGTCAAAACAATATATTGTCGCCGGGGACAATGTGTACCGATAGACGACAATATGTGCAATGAGGGTAGGTACATATTGTCGCCGACAACAATATATACAAAACGACAATGTGTACCGTCACAAACCCTCATTGCTCAATGGCCCTGATTGAAGAGTACAACTTTTAAATTGAAGCGCTTCACTGGTATTTGGTGAGGTCACAAATGATTGAAAGACGTGAAGGAACAAACAATCAGTCACATACAAGAAATATGTGTTTATTCTGGGTAACACTGTTTGGTTTGATAGGTAATCACTCTCAAAAAATCTGGTTGCAGGAGTGGTTGACAATCAGATTGAGAGGTACTGAATAACAAGGGTATGGGACTGATCTTTTTGTGAGTGTACGTAACATAAATTCAGAGGCTTTAACTTCATGTGCCGAATTTTACTGCTTGTAATATGTATCATTGGTAAACCTATATCGGATTTTCTCTAGCATAGAAATTGTGCACTGTAAAGTGGGCCACAGATAATTAAATTAATAATTAATTTATCATCTCCTATAAATACCCATTAATTCTAACTTAAATGAATTGGAAGCGATTAGTATAAATCAATCTCAGGTGTGCGGTGTTAATGAAATACTCTGACATGGAAATTTGTAAAGAGGCATTGTATCTGATAAACCAGGAATTTGTTGATTTGTCATGATGACATTGGTAACGGACAAAACCGACATAAAGTCAAACCTTAATTATCCCCAAATTTTATTTCTATAGATTACAATGAAGTCCATACTGCATGAAAGATATAAACCATATACCTATTAGTAATATCAATAATGATCAAATACAATTATATTGATAATACCGTCACAAAACTATTAGAATGAAATGAAAAACACGCGCAAATTGATATAAGTAAAAATATTTACATTTGCTGTGTTTTTCTCCTAAACCAACTGTAAAATTGATTTAAAAGCCATTTTTGTGTATACTCACGCGTAGAAATATAGACGGAGAAATTTGCGCTAAAGTGACGTCACAATGAGGCTACAGAGACGTTAATAAAAATATGATGATATAGGGTAGCGAGAAATTCAAACATCAAGTATATTCTTGGTGCATTTAAACATGTAAAATGTAAAGATAAGGAATATTTTTAAGTTTAGTGTGAATTATTGGTGTGTAAATCACACAGACTTGCACGTAGGCTAGCGCGCTTCATGAAATATGCCAACGTGACAAGTCTTTGTGATATTTACACACCAATAACTCACAAAAATCTTATAAATATTCTTTAAAAGTATATTACACTGATATACCATGAAGACAAATGAATGCTTGTAATTTTTTTTCTTCTATATAAAGGAATTTCACGGCACATTATTGCACGTGTTAACCAATCTTACGATGGTTGTTTTCTTTAATTTCAGTATCAACCTCTACAGCGTTTGTGCTTTCACTCCCACCGATATTCGGCTGGACAGAGTATAGTTATGCTCCAATCCAATCTATTTGTTTTAGCGATTGGGCACAAGCTCCATCATACGCCATCTTTATGATCACGTGCTGCTTTGGCTGTCCACTTATTGTCATGCTTATATGTAACATTTTGATATTGCGAGAGGTACGGCGACGAAATAGAAGAGTTATGAATAAGAAAAAAATACATTTCAAAGCGGTTGTGAATGTCATAGCCCAGGCCAAGACTCTGAATACCACACTATCTACCTCCACTTTTGCACAACTTGGCGACGCGTCGTCCGGAAGCGATGCGACAACTATTTACAGTCAAAATGAGGCCATGTCAGAAAATCTCGGATGTTTAAATCAAACAGAGGATGACTTTTCCAACCCGCAGCCGATAAAGACATTTCAAATTCACATAGCGTCAACATCTACTCTTGATGTAAATGAAAGTGAAGAAAATCAAATTAAAAAGAAAAGAAAACCCAAAAAGCAACCAGTAGTTGTGGCCAGCCAAAGTGAAGTTCACCTCGCCCGAATGTTATGCATCGTAGTAGTCGTGTTTGGACTGTGTTGGTCCCCGTATTGTGTTAGTATGTTATTTAATATATTCTGGGAGGACATCTTCCTTCCACGTTCATTCCATATGACGACTTTACTTATCGGATATTTCAATAGCCTGTGCAATCCAATAATATATGGAGTACTCAATAAACGATTTGGAAAGGAGTTCCGAAAAATTCTATGTTTCTGGAGACAGTGATTTCCTTTTATATATTAATAAAAATGTACATTTTAATTGTTCATAGTCCAAGAAAATTGCTTTCGGACATAGAGAACATTCTGTCAATACTTTGTCCGTTTCAATACAAATTCAGTCTTTTTAAACGGGGACTATATTAAATAAGTATTCGGGCATTGGTTTTTCTGGTGACCCCCATTGAGCCTATTCTTTTTTCGAAATCCAGAGAAACAATCTTTTGCATACCAAAGGGGTTGTAATTCTTGACATGGGGCACCATTAAACGTCCATCCGACGGACCTAAGATTTAGAAAATTATGAACAGGTACAAAATAAACTGCTGTGCGTGTTTATCAACAAAAATGCTTAAATTATGTACTTCTAAACTTTACTGTAAAAATCTATTTCATGTTAACAAACTAATATTGTATAATCATTATTATTTGTAAAAAGGCCATGCATTTTTCTGCTTTGAATAGGCGGAAAAATCAGTAAATTCTAAAAGAATATGATTTATAGTTACAGGGAGTAATGAAATGTATCTGTTCAGTATTTAAATGTACATGTACAACGTACATGTAAGTATTTGAAATAGAAAGACATAAACATTCAAACAATTAATATTACCTCAGTACATATAAAGATAACTCTACAAATTATTATATGCTACTGCAAAGGAATTTCCAAGATAAACCTTAAACTTTAAAGCCGTTCTTTGCTCTAGTACGACTCAATCAACCATTTTTTGTCACAAGTCATCTACAAATTGATGTCATTTTCACATTGTGACGTTACAAACATGGAGCAAACATAACGTAGCATCTGTTATTTATAGAACATGTTTATGACTATATGTGTGCCAAATTTCAGTCTGATCTGAATAGTGGCTTTGTAAATATAGAGATAGTTCGCGAACTTTTTGATCGCCTCTCATATAAAAGAAGTTTATTGTCTCTTAGGAAATTTTTGTAAAAAGCTTATTAAGGAAAAGGTGAAGATAACGAACAGTTTTCTATCTAAGGAAAAAAACTACAAAGAGTACAAATCTGTGAACAGGACATAAAACACGTACCCCAGGATTTTCAAAGGTAGGATAAGGTGCCTATGAGGAGTAAGCATCCCCTGTTGACCGGTCACACCAGTTAAATGACCTTTGTATAGATAAGGAAGACGAATATTCCGTAGTCAAATTTAGTATAAAAACAAAGGCCTAACAATTGGTATGACATATATCAGTCAAAATCGACTTAACGAAACTAAGCGAAACTTTTAAAGGAAATTGTATTTGCAAAGAAGGTCATTTTAACGACCTTAGAATTTTGAAAATGCTGACTTTAAACGAGGTTGATGAAATCCCTGTAACATGAACTTATCTGTCAGTACCCTGCCTCGGTATAGAATTGATCGTACTCAAGGCATGCTCAAGAGTATCGAATGAGGTGGAAGACATAAACACCAAATGCAGGTGATAGTGGAATATTACTACATAAATAAGGAGAGTTTACGATGGAAAAGCTGAGGTCATTTCGTTTTTCAAACAATTTTGTTGTTAATCGGCCCTTAGCGTCTATAGACAGAACATCCAAATATGAAACAGATGTGGCAGAATCTGAGGAAGGAAGACAAGCGATTCAGAATGCAGCTATACACTGTAATAATTGTGTTTATGAAATAAACACTTCTTTTACATGTTTAGATCATAAACGTGTATAGTATTGTGTTTAACAACTAAACACTTATGTCTTAACATGTTTTATATCTAAACGCGTTTAGAAATTAAATACGTTTTACTGTAAAGTGCAGAGTTATCTTCCCGGAAATGACACACATATATTTGAACGTTAATTTGAGCGGCTATCTAAACAAAGAAAACACAACAAAGTAAGGTGATGTATCAACGAGAGTTATGACAACCCAGTTCAAGGGATAACCATGACGAAATAGTGAAATACGTGAAAGGGCATCTTGTTACTGCAATACATTAAAGGTTTGTTTTCTTTTTCTTTGCATTAATTAACCACGATGAGCAACGTAAATAATTAAAGCTGACTTGGGATATCTTGAATTCGTTCATGTATAGACTTGCAGGAGAGGAAATAATATTAAATGTCATTAAAAACGTTATATTTATATCAGTATAGTTTCACTCAAAATTGAACAATTTCGTTTTTCTAAGTAATGTAAAATATCAGTGATAGTGTACTTTTTCTAAAATCTGGCTTCATTTCTTTCCTACAGGTACTGTAGTCCAGATCGAACTCAAAATACACGTATCAGAGTACCTGGTGTCATCTTCAAGTGCAATTTTGTTGTTCCATAATCAACACTTTGAAACTTCATTTGTTGAAGACTACATGTACTGAGTTAATTCGACAGTGTTTACAATTATCCTCGTGCATTAGAAATGGATTACTTTCTGGCAGTTATTGATGGGATATAGATTATAATATGTGGTGCTTTGGGACTTGCTGAAAGTTAAAATAAAATTTGATATTTTTGTGATTGACATGAGGAAAACTCTGCAGCCGATTCAAATTATAATGATTATAATAAATATATATATAAATAAACATTTTGTATTTTTAATATAAAAATTCTTTAGTAACGCCTTTTAGAAATATTCAATGAAGTTTTGATATTAAATTGTCAGCTCAATATTTTTTCTTAATAATTTTGAAGATTAAAAGTTTGTTATCTATGTGTACGTTATAAATTATGTGTCATTCTGATTGATAAACACATTCCTAAAAAAACTATTACCATTAGACCAAGAGATAAAGTTTTTTATGAATAATACTATACGTAAACTAATGAGAAAACGAAATAGGATTCACTATAAAGCAAAACATACAGACAATCCACTCCACTGGCAGTCATATAGAGAAATTAGAAATACAGTTATTAATGAAATTCGAAAATCCTGTGAAAGGTATAACAAAAAAAATGTCGTCGATGATTGATAAATCGATTCCTCCCGGGAAATGGTGGAGGATTGTCAAATCAATATCAAAACTTAATAAAAATTATGAACCATTACCACCATTAAAATCAAATGGAAAACTTATTTTCCATCCAGTAAACAAAGCTATAGTTTTAAATAAATATTTTGCCCAGGTTTCCTCCATTAATAACGAACCAGATATTCCTCTTCATGGACCCGGTCCACCACAACAGAATAATAACATTTTTCCTGAAATAATTATCACAGAAGCTGAAGTTTATGATCAATTATGTATCATTGATAACAGTAAACCTCCTGGTCCTGATGGCATATCTCCAAGAGTGTTAAAAGAAATTTCCATTTCAATTAAAAAGCCTCTGACAAATCTCTTCAATATGTCATTAAGGGAAAAAAAGCTACCAGACATCTGGAAATTATCACAGATTACACCCGTCTTTAAAAATAAAGGGAGTGCTCAAGAAGTATCTAATTATAGACCAATATCTCTTACAAGTGTTCTGTGTAAAATAATGGAAAAATACTTTTTAAACATTTACATAATTTTATGAATGATAATAATATAATATACAAATATCAGTCTGGTTTCCAACCTGGAGATTCAACTGTCAATCAACTGGTAGAGATATATAATACTATTATTTCAAATCTTGATAAAGGAAAAGATGTAAGATTTATCTTTTGTGATATTTCAAAAGCATTCGATAAAGTATGGCATAAAGGCCTGTTAACTAAACTAAAAAATTATGGTATTAATGGCAATGTATTAGGTTGGATTGAGAATTATTTGTCTGATAGACAACAGAAAGTTGTAATAGATGGTTTTTCATCAAACCCTGAAACGGTAAATGCTTGTGTTCCTCAGGGTTCTGTTCTGGGACCATTTCTATTTCTCTTGTACATTAACGATATTTGTGATGATCAAGTTAATAATATAAGACTTTTTGCTGATGACACTTCTTTATATGCTATTGTAGACAATGGAAATGTAGCACAATCTCTTACTGATGATCTAGAACATATTGATAAATGGTCAAAGAAATGGCTGGTTGATTTTAATCCTAACAAAACTGTGAATTTAAATTTTAGTAGAAAAAACCTTGTATATTCTCCTGTTAAATTTGGCGAACACGGCCCAGATATTATTCAAAAAAATTCTCATACTCATCTAGGCTTACATTTTCAAAGAGATGCCACGTGGACATCACACATACAAATAATTCATGAAAAAGCTACAAAAAGATTAAACATTCTTAGAATGCTTAAGTATAAGGTTACACGTAAAACACTTGTTAAAATATATTTTGCATTTATTCGACCTGTAAGGGAGTATTCTGATGTTGTTTGGGATAATTGTTCTGAAAAAGATTCTAAACTCTTAGAAGACATACAAGTTGAAGCAGGCAGAATTATCACTGGATTAAGATGTAACTCTTCTCGTTCAAAATTGTATGATGAACTAGGATGGGATCTTCTAAAAACAAGGAGAAAAATTCATAAGCTTATATTGTTTTATAAAATTATTAACGGTTATTCCCCTCAATATTTGTATGATTTGATTGAACCCTATCGCCCATCAATTAATTCTTATAATCTCAGAACCAATGTTGTACAATTTAAAATTCCTAAAATTAGAACAACATCTTATATGGAAAGTTTTCTTCCCTCTACAGTCAAACAATGGAATATCTTGCCAGATTATATTAAAAATGCTCCTGGAATATGTTCATTTAAGAGTCTCTTAAAATCCTATTTTTGTAGAAAAAGTAATGAACTTTTTCATTTTTGAGTAAGAAAATATAATATAGTACATTGTCAGATAAGGAATAATGCTAGTAATTTGATGGCAGATTTATATAATCAATGTTTAGCAGAAACTCCATTGTGTGAACATTGTGCTGGCAGTATTGAAGATGCCTACCATTACTTTTTTGTATGTCCAAGATATACAATTCCAAGAAATGTACTTTTTCAATCAATACATAATATTATAAATTGTGACCATATATCTGAATGTGATTTATTGTTAAATGGTAGTTCTAATCATGGACTTGATATTAATATACAAATATTTGAAGCTGTACATACATTTATAGCAGCAACAAAACGATTTATATAAACACTGTCATATACATATGTGGTATATTGTAATACTTTCAATATTTCCAAACCGGTACTACTTTGTACTCTTTCTTATTTTTTTTTTTTATTTTATCATTATTTTTTTCTTTCCTTTTGTAATTTTGCTTCTTTTGCCTTCTGTAACTTTGTTCTTTTTGTTTTTGCTTTCCTCTTTTGTTCATTCTTACTTTTGCTTTAATAATTAATTTACTATGTATTTGCCTTGACCTTGATGTAGGGAGAGGGCTAAAATAGGCTGAGCCTGCTGCCCAATCCTATTCACTCTTACATCTGTGAATAAAATATTGTTTAAATTAAATTCTGATTGAATATTTGAGACTAATCAAATCTATTCGTGAAAGTGTCACAAAATCATTTTCTGTCTAATGTATATGGCCAAAATGTATATTGCTAAAGTATGTTACAATTTAACATTATATACTACATATGTTTATATTACCATGCCACACAACCTTCTTTTGATGTTTGTTATATTTACTCAATGCTATAAGATGTATGTCTTGGGCAATAAAAATTATATATTCAGTTCTATCACCTACATTATTTGTGTAAATTAAGGACATGTACATTGCACAGTGTTAAATACATATCCCAACGTCCAGTGACTTTATGGATAATAATTAATATTGGTAACATATTTTGAAAATTTTGACAATTATGATTGAAAAAAAACATATTTTTTGTGCCCAAATTTACGAGAGTGTTTTGTTTTTCTGCAGGTACAAATCATACTTATGATGTGTTTAGATTTTAAACACTTCTGCTGTTATGTGTTTAGAATTTAAACACTTGGGTTTATGTGTTTAGATATGTTTAATTTCTAAGCACACAAGTGTTTAAAATCTAAACACTTTCTAAGATATGTTTAGGATTTTTACATGTTTAGGAATTAAACATATAAAAAAGGAGGTGACAACAAAGTGTTTAGAAAAGTGTTTGAATTGTAAACACATTTTTTACAGTGTATGCATTGTACAAACTTTGTACTCGTATATGTTTTTTTTTTCTCCATGTTAACTATCCTCGTTTTGAAACAAGTCTATAACGTACATGCAGCCTTATTAATTAGTATACTAATCAATCTCTCAATATTTATATAATTATTTACTTCTCATTTAATTTTCTTTTATTTAGTCAACTTTTTGTCTCACAAAAAGTAAACAAATCTTGTTCTTTGCAAACATGACCAATTGATAAAATGATATTGATATATCTTTATAATTTAAATGTTTTCTTTCATTCTGAGGACACAACAAGAAAGAATCTTAAAGAAAAAAAAATAAAACTGATACTGTGTAAAGCTTCCAATTATGACAATATAATATACACCCTCTCCTTCTGTTGTCTTTAAAAATGAAATTGCAGACTCGGCGTTAAACAATAGCAATCAATCAAAATAAATTCCCATATTGGAAATGATACAGTTAGAAATATTGTGATAAATAGCAAAGCAGCCTTAAAATAATTTTTTCTCCCAATCACAAAATGTTTGCGTTAATAAGAATCCAGCCTTCTTTATGTTAGTTAGTTTTGTAATGACTCAGGTCAGCGTCGTAACCCGTCGGCATAGTTTGGATTAATTAGGAAAAGGGTCTGAGTGATATCCAAATTTTCATATAAATTATATAGTCCAAAGTTCGAATTAAAAAATTAAACAATTTTGTTATTTTAACAGCACATTTTCATAATTAAAAGACAAATACATGTATAGGTCCATATTTCAGATAATAACATATTCAAAGATCGCAGTTTTCATTATACGTGGAGAAAATTCAAACGGTTCTTCCAGCAAATTCGTAAGAATTTTGTTCAGCAACTACACTGTCATCATAGAGAAATTTGGATAATGAGTGTTGATTTTATTGTCTTTTGTACCCCCGAGTTGCCCTACAGTGCGCTAATGACCCCGTCGTGGCCTCTTAAAAACTAACACGAAGTGGCGGAATTGTGCTGTAGAGCTGTCAACGCCTTCTGATGTGTGTAATACTGCACAAGTCTTATGATATCTTTACAATACGTAAGTATATATATTTATTTTCTAATACATTTAACAGAAGTGGTTATTTCGAGAAAAACATTTGTCTGTGTATTTAGGAAAGCGGTGTAATGCATGGTTATTGAGGATGCTAATTTAACTTTCTTTTGTTTACATTTTATATGTCTGAACGTAACGGTGCATAACAGAGTTAGGTTATATGTTAATTTTATTGACGTGTGAATGTGTCAAATTTTATCTACAAGTTAAACTTATGTTAAATTTTTGCAATGATAGCATTTGATGTGAGCTGACGATTTGAATAAATAAAACAGAGTGGTTTGATTTTTTTTTTTCAACGCAAAACGGTTCTTAGTCATGCATTTCATAAAAATAACATCGAGCAACTAATAATTCAGCAAAAACTAACACAGATAAGATTGATTGCCCTTTGAAGAAGTCTGCGTATTATTTATCCCTTAACATGAATAATTTGCCATAATATCTAGACAAATCTTTTTGTAAATTAATAGCATATACCCAAATTCCACTTTGCGTACGTAGACCAGGTGGCAATACTGATACAGACACAATAGGTGATCAACAATTATTTTTAACAGGACATATTTGAAATAATATCAGCAACAAAAAATTAGAAAATAAACATAGCCGATAATCATAGCGAGTAATACACAGTTTTAAGATCTTTAAAAAATATTTCAAAAAAAAAAAAAAAAAAAAAAAAAATGGAAATCGCCGGGGTACTAATTATAGGTGGGTGTATCTACAATTACACACTAAAATCAGACCTGACACTGAGATTTACTATCGCAAAACTACAGGTGCATATACGTTCTGCGGGATCCTGATCTTGATAATTCTTAAATTGATACAATTCCCATTCCTATTACCTATAAGTAGGTAACTGCGTTAACAATAGCAGATTGACCCTGCTGGTCATCGAAAATTTATCTGTTGACAAGCACATCTACGTAAGTATTTTAATATCACTTACAATACGTGAATGTTAAGATATTTCGCTAAATATTGAAAATTCATTATCTAAGCTTAAGAGTAAGAACTGAGAATCGCTCACAATGATTGACCATTGAGCATATGTAATCATATGTACGTGCGGATTAATGACAAGCTGAAACAGACATTTGTATCCTATACTCACGACTTCCGCTAAAAAAGTCTTCGAAATTATAATAAACGAGAGCACTTCTCTCTTGTTAAGAGTACAACATGCGTATAACGACAGCGACTGATCTAAAGCTTAATCTTATTAAAGACATTCTACACCTTTATCACAAATGGTTATGATATAAAATGATACAATTTTACGTTTGTTTTATTATGTTTAGAGTTTTTTCTTTCTGTGTTGTAAATTAATAGAATCCCTTAGCAGAGAATTTTCTGGTATTTTTTCTGAGATATTCGTTAATTTTCGTCATTTAAAAATTGATAGAGGATGAATATAGGAAAAATTCTTTATAAACAAGCAATTAAGTCATGACATATAATACCAAAGTAGACGACTAGAGTGAAAAAAAAAGGTAGAAGAAAAAAAAATCAATTATCATATCAGTTAGAAGTGCTGCTGTACCAGACTATCTTTTTTTTAAGCGGATTAAGGTGTGGTTGTCACCTTGATTCACTCAGATGGTAAAGATGAAAACTAACACAATGATTTTTGTCGAGAGGTACATGTTTATGGAATTCAGTATGAAATTAAATATAAGAATAAAATGTGAATGGAGCTGTTGGATAATATGTCGAGGTTCTTAAATCTACCGTAGTAACGCTATATACCTGGGCCACTACACAAGTACCTTTATTTAACAGAAGCATGAGTCATGAGCACTGGCGTCATAGGCGGGCATATAGTGACGGCCAACGTCCCCGGTCCCACCATCTGCCCCTCAAAGACCTCCCTCGAAAATATGCAGGTACGTACTATATATAATTTAGGGCTAACATTTCTTTTTGTATGGCGCTGCATGTGAGGATACTGTATACCTTCAGCAGAGTATTTTATTGAATATAATTGTTGCTTTCACGTCTAAACTACTTTTTTATGTTTTAAAAATATGTCCCCTTCCCCCAGATTTTTAACTATGAACTTAGAATTGCATGTAAAACTATCAGTCACCTTCGTAAGTATTTACAAGCGCTTTTCGCAATTAACAACTGAAATAATTATAAATAAATAAATGTATATTTGTATACTTTACGATGGATTGCGAAAAACAAAATTCATGAAAACAGATTAAATTATAAATGCTTATGTCTATCCTGTATTAACATGCAGTGACACAGAGCGATGAAAACCTTGCTGTACCGGAATGTCCCCATATGCCGAGGTCGAGTTCTATGCAGTCCTTGAACACAGATTTTGTGGATGCTGCAAGTGATGATTCATTTCAGAAAGAAGTAAACTGTTTTAATCAGTTTAAGTAAAATTTTTCCTTGGGCAGTAGACACTGCGAGGGGTGATCAAAAAGTTCGCGAACTATCTCTATATTTAAAAAACCACAATTCATATCAGAATGAAATTTAGCAAACATATAGTCATACACCAATCGCAACTTCTCGGGCCTTTCCGACTAGCGGAAAAACAACCTCGAATGTATTACGTAGACGCCATGACAACCCCCTTTTCAAAAACTTTGAAATAAATGTGGGAAGACCTCTTATCTGTGGAGTATAGAGTTTAGCTTTATTGAATGTAAAGATATTACCTGAAATATACTTTAGAAGGGACTTATAACTCCGTCTATCCTATATTTAAATAAATAGGAAGTTGTATAAAATTTTAACATCCGGTGATGTTAAAATACTGAAACGCAAAAGAAACGCAACATCCTATTTTAGAGGCGAAAATTATAGAAAGGATATAATTTTGTATCTAAAAAGTACGGATATCTGCACTTTGTAAGTATCGATAGTTTAACGGTTGAATGATTTTCATGCCATAACCGGAAGTTAAGTTTGAGCCCGCTTAACAGAAATGATAAATTGCATGTTTAACAAAACATTTGACAAAAATATGGGGTTTTAAGGGTTTGTATCTGTTTATCATAAGTAATGCAGCAATATTCCGCAAAATAAATTTTTCTTTCGTTTCCGGAAGAGATGCCAAGGCTTCCTGAAAATGACTTAAGTACGCATTTCAAATGCTCTAGCTGGAAAATCTGAAAATAAAGTTGATGGAGAACTGCAGATGCAAAAATGCACGACAACACGCCTCAACAGGCTCATACATATCATTAGCATGAATGATAGTCCGTGGACCGGAAGTCCAAATGTTACTACACTACGCTAGGTTAGAGAAAATTCGACTTCGTCATCTGAAAACGGACATTTAAAAACGGCAAAGAATATTTTTTTTTCGCTCAGATCTCGAGATTGATGAACCTATTGCATCGTGGAAATCAAGCTGCAATTGTTGTGCATGGCAGTCTTCCACGCTATAATTGAAAAGCTGAGTGGGGGGGGGGGGGGGGGTTAATAGTCACGTGTTACTTTCTAAAGTTAAAAGATAATCATTTAACATTGTTATCAAATCTCTGATGTTTTTAAATCGAGTTTAACTCAACTGTAATCAGTTTTGAAAATCATTAGTTAAAAGGTTCAAATATTTGTAGATTACTGCTTGTTGCGTTTCTTTTGCGTTTCAGTATACATTCGAGGTTGTTTTTCCGACCTCTTACGGAAAGACCCGAGATGAATTTTGATGCGATTGAGTCGTACACATGTTAAATTATAAATAGCAGATGTTAAATAATGTTTTGTTCCGTGTTTGTAACGTCACAATGTGAAAATGACGTCAGTATGTAGGTAACTTGTGACAAAAAATGGTTGAACCAGTCGTACTCAAGCAACAAACGGCTGTAAAGTTTAACGTATATCTCTGAAATTCTTTGCAGTAGAATATGATAATTTGTACAAGGTTTATGAAGACAAAAGACTTACCAGAAGTTCAATAATTAATTGGATTGAATGTTTAATGAAGGCATGGAGATGGTTTAAAATAATGTTTGTTCTGTTGCCCAGGGAAAGCAAGCCCGAAAAAAAGATGTGTCCTTAGTTGAGCAATAATTTATTTTGAAAGATCGCCAAGTTACAGTAAGAAAAATAGTTGAATATGTGAGCAACAATATAATTACTAAATTCCTAAAATATCGTTTACTTTAGACTTTAAACATACATGTATGAGATTTGAAAAAAAGAAGGCTCCCATACTTTTTCCACATTGGATAAACGACGCCCCCCGAGACAGAGGACTCGGGATGTGATGGTCACCATGCTAATTCTGGGAAGGGATATCCTTATCCACCAATCCTATAAGCCCTTTCACGGTAACTGCAGTACTGCTCTTCTGCAGGGCAAATTGATAACGTTTGGCGAAGATTTTGTTGATAGATAATCAAATGACGTTTTTCAAACAATTACTTTAACGTCATATTTCACCAAAATATATCATTTTGCCCTGCAAAAGTGTAGTACCACAGTTATCATGAAAGGGTCTACTGTCGAGATTTGGCCATTCCTGACAGATGTGTCCTCTACAAAAATTTACAATTTTTCAATTTAAATTTGCTTGCGTGGTAAGAAATATAAGACTCGGAAAAATTTCATAGCTTCTGTGAACGGACCGCTTGGAAGCATGTCACAAGACCGCCTGGATCACGTGATTCGCGCATGGGCAGAACAATGGCAGATGTGCATTTAAATAGGAGAGGACTACTTTAAAAAATAATGAACACTGAAACCTTATTTTATTTCTTTTAAGGAAGTGATTCAATTAGTTCGGGAACTTTTTGATCACCCCTCGTACTGTAAAGAACATTTTCCCTTATTATTAATTTATTAATTTCTCGGAAAATGTGCTATATTTTCCAATCGCAATACAAAAAGTCAGCTATGGCAGCTAGTACTGATGACTTATTGTATAATATTTCAAGTTTCTTTACAGGATTTACAGAAGTGCGATTGATAATTACACGTTGATTAAATTTCAAGGTAGCAGAGAAAACACAGATGTATTTTGTTGGGAAACAAGAAGCGGAGACTGAAGTCTTTTTGGACAGAATTATCAAAAAAGAAGGCAGCAAAGACCGTGCATTGCTTTTCATTGTGTCAGAAATAATGAACGAAAATAAGGTAAGCCTTTCTCAAGCAGTTAGAACTTAATAAATTATCTAGAATAAAATTCTGTACCAAAACCGTATTAAGGAAAACCATATATCCTTATTTAACGAGTTTATTGTAGTATTGCACGTGTAGTTTTAACACAACAGGGGGGAAAATTTCTGCATTTTTCAGGTGCAAATGTTAATTAATAGCTTACTGCACCGTGGTGCTAATCCTTCTGCTAGCAATAAGGATATGTGGACACCATTACACTATGCCGTCAAGAAAAACTATAAAGGTGTCTGTTCTAAACTACTGGAGCATGAGGCTTGGCCAGATGCACGTGACAAAAAAGGGGTTATGCCATATACACTTGCATTCGAGGCAGGAAATGACGACATTGCCGCCATGCTCATTACATACATGAGCAATGAATTGTACGTGACATTAATCTTAAATGTTGCTGCTTTTCTTGTTTCGTTATGACAGCAGTGTTTTTTCAATTTAAAGTGATCATTGATAATACGTACTAGTAATTACTTCCATTACAGTGTTCGTAAAATATACAGCAGCGATAAGAATGCACCCGCCGAATTTAGTTTTCATACTCTTCTAAACAAAAATATGCAGGTATGTACATTTAAGAACCTGCTCGCACTTCTGATGTTTTCAGAGGTTGTTTGCTAGTAATTTGTATTGTTTAATTAAACTTTTAGCATGATTTTATTAAGTATCTGAAGTAAGACAAAACGTATTTAAAAAGTCTTTAGTTAGTTTTTATAAGTGGTAGACCAAGTACATGTTATCTTGGAAATTGACCATTCTTAATTGCAAAAAAAGTCACAATTAAGATAAGAAAAGATATAGAAATGATGATATTTTGATATTGTTCTATATTTGGTGTAAATATTTATAATCGGTTTTCATAACACTTTACATTTAAGAAAACAATCCTGGCTGTGTTGGATTGCATGATAGACCCAGTCAGTCCTAGTGGTGATGTATGTGTGTATTACAATGTCCTAGAGGCAGATGGATATGGACGAGTTCCGACGGATTCTCATTTCAATCCACGGTCAAAATCCGGGCTGCAGATCATAGCAAAGAGTGGTAATAAAGTAAGTATTTCAAGTATAAGTAAATGTTCACACACAACCTCACACCCAATTACAAGAACAAGGTCCCTATTTTGTGTACATTTGTCTTTGCCTTTCAAATTATCACAACGCCAAATATTGTATGATGTCTAGAATGTATTTTTTTAAAAAAATATCCTTTGCCTTTTTTTAAAGACTATAGTCTACCATGATGTTGTTCGTTTACTTATACGCAGGAAGTGGAAAGAATACGCCAGATTCCGTTTTTTGTAAGCTATATTGCGACTAAAATGATACTTTTGTGAGGTTTTTATATAAATGTTAAATTTAGGATAATCTTCTACTTTTCTTTCTTTTAAATTGCAGAATAAATTCCTTATTTTACATAATTACCCTGATAACCATTACATTTTCCGCCATTGTTGCCAGTTCAACACCTGATCCATCAGTTTATGACCTTTCTGCTCTACAAATTGGGCGCGCAGTCTGTGAAATCTGGTCGCTTGGAATGGCCATCCTAACGCTTTTCTCGGAATTAAATCAATTGCGTAAGTACGTATAGATTTCACATTTCTGAATTAAATTCCATTACTAGACAAGTTAGTCTTTCTGTTTAGTGTTTCTAAGGGCAAATTATTCCTATGAATGTTAAAATGCCCTTCTGTTCAATAACCTTTCATCAGAAAATGAAGTAAACTTAGAATTTCAATACCTAGACATCGCTTGGAGTATTGGCAGGATGCATTTAACTGGATTGATCTTTCCTCCTCCATATTGATAATTATAATCTTACCATTACGATTTACCCAGACGTCGGAGCAATGGTTTGTATTCTCAGCTGCTTATCTACTTTGGACAGTGAGAATATTCAAATACGCTGCTGTTTTCAGGTGAGCATAGTACGTAAGCTTCAGGGTTTTTTTGGTCTATTTTTTGTCTGTTTACTGCATATGAAAAAAAATACTCTCATAGTTAGTACAGTTTATAAGAATAAATAATAAACTTGCAATGCTTATTTTCTTCAGACAAACGGGAGCATATGCCCAGATTTTATGGAGGATTCTTATTCATGATATTTTCCAGTTCACCACTTTCTTTCTCTTTATCCTCTTGGCCTTCAGTGGATGTCTTCTTTTGTCTCTTCGTGGAGAAGGCTCATTGGAACAGTTTCATGAAAGCAGGTGATATTCTAACGCAGGAAACCAAAGAACAATGTAAAGAAATGCATGGGTTTTCCTCAAATCCATTTTCTAAACTTTACTTTCACAATTCATATCTTATCCAAGACTTGTTTTTCTACACTGTAAAAACAGTGTTTAGATCCTAAACACAAAACTAAACACATAATTTGTTTCACTTTTTTTTTTACACGTTTAGCTCTAAACATGTCTCATTTCTAGACACGTAGACTTCATGTGTTTAGTAGCTAAACATGTTTACTCCCTAAACACTTTTAGCTAAACACATAATTTGTTTCACTTTTTTTTACGCGTTTAGCTCTAAACACGTCTCATTTCTAAACACATTTTAACTTCAGTTGTTAAGTTGCTTAACATGTTTAGTTCTACAACATTGGTTCCAGAACAATTGTTTACATATTGATAAACGATTACAAGAAAACTGAATGTATTTGATAAGTTTTCTAGAAATACAGCATATTAATGCACTGGTATGTACATATAGATAACAACATTTTTAACTTCAAAGGTACCCGTATCACAAGAAAGGAACGACTAACAATAACATAACTGAACATTTAAACATAGATTTATTATAAAGAATTTAAATTAAATATACATGTATGCTTAAACATAATCATTTATTATAGTTAATTTCAATATTAATCAGCTCAGCAAGCAGTTTCTCCTCACATCAGTAACAAAATGTTCATCTTTATTAACGTTCAGCCCGTCCTTCACTAGCAACACATACAGTGTATAATTTGTATCCATCCACGACTGTCAGGAGTCAGTAAGTAATCCACTTCCAATGTACAAGAATGGTATTCAAAACTATCGAACAGTAGACTTTTCAAATTCCAGTTTCCTCTAGAATGTGAGAAATGCTGAATTGTAACAACAAATGCACTTGAACTTGGAGATGACACCAGTTACTCTGATACATGTGTTTTTGCTTTTAAGTTCGATCTGGACCATATCCTGAAAGAAAGAAATTTAAATTATAGTAAAGTATGCTCCTCACTGTACATTTGTTTGATAGACATTATTATGCAACTTTAAGTGAAACTCATTTTTAAAACTACAATATAGTACTAATACTGATATAGATGTTTTTAATGAAATTCGATATAGATACTCTCTAGCTTTCATGAATGCAAAATAACCAAAGGAAATCTTGATCTACATTCATGTGCAACTGCATGTTTATTTATGTTGCTCATTGTGGTCAATTCATGTAAAATAAAAATAGTAAACAGACCTTTTATCGTAGTAATAAAATGCCTTTCAAATGTACTTCACAACCTCTTCATGGTTACCACTTTGGTTATCATTCACATCCTTTGATACATCTTCTTTAGCTTACATTGGGATTTTCTTTGTTTCGATAACCGCTCTAATTAACGTTCAAATACATGTATATTCGCGTCACTTCCGGGAAGATAACTCTGTATTTGAAAGAAAAGTGTTCAATTTCTAAACACTTACATCTAAATACGTATTATATCTAAACACGTTTAGATATAACACATGTTTAGACGTAAGTGTTTAGTTTTTAAACATAATATTAAACATGTTTAGGTCTAAACACGTAATGGAAGTGTTTATTTTCTAAACACAGTTTTTACAGTGTAATGATGGTAATGAAAAACATATCATCCCCATGGGAAGTAGGGTGTCAGCTTTGGGGAAAAAATGATGACCTTTTGTTTTTAAATAGCCATACCTTGTATTGTAAACAAAGTTTTTGTTAATGTAACGTTATGATATCATCTTGTAGTTCATTCTGGTCAATCCTATTTGTTGGTGTCAGGATCCTGATAGAAGCAGAGAGAATTATAGAATATACAGAACTTCAGTAAGTGTCCAATGAAAGATTTTGTCTGCTAGAAATCTAAACAAAATGCTTCTTTTCATGAGCCTTATTAAGAAAGAAAAAATAATTTTTCATATTTCTATGGAAAATACCAGTAAATGTATGCAACCTAGGTAAAATTTACCTTTCATTCCACTGTAGGACTATGAGTCTTATCATCATGGTGGTATTTCTGTTTACAATCTGTGTCCTTCTACTAAACATTCTGATAGCTCAACTCAGTGACACTTACCAAAATGTCCAGCAGGACGCTCAGAGGGGGTTAGAGGTCAACAGAGCCTGGATTGTTGCTCGTGTTGAACTGAATAGTCTTTATATTGGACAGGTATAGCCTCGTTTGAAGTATAAGTGATTGAAAAGAAAAGTAGGTTGTGTTGTTTTATATAATTATCATTTACTTTTAACTCTTGACTTTGCTCTTTAGGGACATCGAACAACACATTACAAAGAAAGTGAAAACATTTATGATGTGAGAGATGTGCTAGAAAAATGGGAAAGCCCTCCATTAAATGAGATGAACAAGTATATTCAAGATATATGGGAGGGTCTTGATTCTCACAAAATGAACCTGTTGACGATTAGAAATAGATTGGCAAGACAAGAATCGGCTTTGTCTAAAATCCAGTAAGTCGATTTAGGGTGTGATCGTGTTAAAAATGTGTTTTTATTCCCTTTGAATATTTCTTATTTACACGATAAAATTTTCATTTTCAGAGATACACTGGATAAACTTTTGGAATTGGAGGAAAAGAGGCAAGAGCTTTCCGAATTTCAACATTCATAGAAATTTACTGACCGTTTGAAGTGTCCTATAACACTACTTCCGAACCCTAATTGTTTATCTTAAAAATCTTACTGTAGATTAGCTGTTTCCTTGATTTCTTTGAAGCTTTACATATAATTTTGAATTACTTTCTTATGTTTAATGATGTACTAGTATATTGAGAATTATAAGATTTAAATTGTTGTTTGTGGTTGCTTGTCCTTATATGCTGTGCACTGGAAAGTATAATTGTAGATAAGGAAAAGTATGTTAAAAGTATGAAATTATGCATTCATGCATAGTAACAATGTGACTGTTGCCATAGCAACAAAATAGAAGTCAAAATTGTAAAAATATGGAGTTTTTCACCTTTTCTCCAAGAAACGCAGACATACTGACAAATAAATAATGCATTCCCTCCAGAGTAGTGGCTCATGCTTTTCAAATAAAACATGCAAATAATTATTTTTTAAATAGTTTTTAGCTCTTCTGCTCAAAACTAAGAATTATGCGATCGTCATCTGTCAATCTGTCTTTGTAGCTGTCTGTTTTTCTGGTAAAGTAATCATTTTTTTTAAACTGTTGCTCTTCTGACAGTTTTCGTCCGATTTCAATAAATCTTGGAATACAAATAGACTTGGCTGATATAAATAGGTTTTTATTGGTTTTGGTTTTGATGAACGGCGTTGCCATGGTTTCATAAAGTGAACATTTCTATGAATTCCTCTTTAATCTATTACTTCTCTTTAAAATGTTTTCTGATTTCAAGTAAAATTTCATTCAAATAAAATTTGTATCACGGGTATATTAACAATATCAAATTTTAAAAAATCATTGAATTATGTTTTTTAAAAGAATTTTTTTCTGTATCTACTCTTATACATGCAATAAAAAAATTAATAAACTTTATTTTGGTAAACAAAGTATGAAGTTTAGTCAAGTGGTAGATGGATGGTATTTAGAAGCAACCACTACGACACAAATGAACAAACAGATATTGCAACAATATGCAATTCATGCTTGGTTCCCTTAGAACAACTGTATAAGCATCATTTCTTTCTCATATACCGGTCATGGTAGCCTAGTGTTATAGCGTTTGCTTTGTGATTGGGAGGCCCGGGTTTGATTCTCGTTCACCGCACTGTGTCAAACCTAAGACGTAAACTTAGGAAGTCACTGTTCCTTCGCTGAGCCCCGGAATTGGAAGTAAAAATCACGGGTCTTTCGGATGAGACCTTAAAAACCGAGGTCCCGTGTCACGGTAGGCGTTGGCACGATAAAGATCCCTCACTGCTCAATGACCCGGAGTGTTAAATAAAGGTCTAAATTTGAAGCCCTTAACGGCTTATGGTGACGTTTCTATATGAGTGAAAAATTCTTGAATGGGACGTTAAACATTATGCAATCAAAATTTCTCACATATATGTATATATTTCCTAATTTCAAATTTTGCTGAAATCTGTTAACAATTTATGGTTCCTATAATGTTTCTAATACCTTATCTACCATAGAAGTATCCATCAAGACATCACTTCTTGTAGCATACACTCTGTAAGTGAAATGTAGTCTAGTCCCAGGTTGTAGTCTTGTCTCATATTCTCAAATGAAGCAAGAGAAAAAGGAAAATAAGTCAATAAATCATGGAAATTCAAGAAGAAAGTTCTTGAAATTCTTTTAGAATTCCTTGATAGAGTCCAGTCTTATTTCTCGGATCTGCACTGCATGGACCTGTCAGCTCCGCAGTAAATTTGCTGATAGTACTATACAACAAGAAGAATTACATGTAGTTCACTTATTCCACCACCTCTAAACACGTCTAAATACATGTTCATTAGCGAGGGAATTTGAAGTTTTGAACAGAATAAGTATAAAATATCAATTTAATAACCTGCATTTTCTTAATACAAGAATATCAAAGTTTTCAATTTGTTTGCAATTTGTTAGTGTCAGTGTACTCTAGTGCAAATGTTCATTGACAAGTAATTCACATATATAAAAAGAGTGCTTTATCTTAAAATAAACAAAACTACATATATGGTCCTGGTACAAAGTACTGTCTAAAAAAATGTCGTTTTATGTAAATCAGATGACGTACTTAATTATAAAAGTGCAGTCTAAATCTGAAAATTAATTGATATATTTTCTAGAGTAATATCAACATATTACAGCTAAATTCATGCTTTAGTAAAACCCAACTGAAGGCACGGATCTCAATTATCTTTTAAAAAATCTTAAGTTATAATGAACGTTTAACTTTGAGTTTGATTATTTGACTAACTATTATTATTTGAGAGATGTGGGGAGAGATTGGGATACTGACATAAATGGACAATATTTACCTTACTGTTATGATTCTACAGTCAGTATCTTTATAATATTGTAATGTTTCAAATGCAAATAGATTATACTGCGTTATAGCGAATCAAAATATTCCTTGATATGCATATGCACTCCTTGCATGCCTGGTTTTTTTTAAATGAAATGCACTTTGTATCCTACACATTCTGAATTTCTCTTTACATAGTATAGCAGTCTTAAGATGATGGCGATGATACTTTTATATGGTTGATAGTGAGATTGTAAATAGCAGTTACTTGTCTTTGTATCCTGAATACTGGTATGTATTACTGTAGATAAAGAAAAGAGAAAAGTTTATACGGTTACAATGATTAAATTTCTGGATTGAAGAAAAATCTGATAAGATTTTTCCAGCTGAAATCTATTGATTTTACTTGGAATTGTAACAGTACAGGAGGTTAAAGTAAATATTTATTAAAAGGGAAAATTTTACACGTGATGAAAATAAAACTTTGATTTTAAGATATAGGAAAAAAATAACTTTGAAGTTATATTTTGTATATTTGAATTTTCGGGTTATTTAGGTCAGTCGGTGATCTATTGCTATCAGTTTCTGCCAAGCAAACTGCGTAATTTAAGTATTCGTTCATTTACGTGCTGATTCAACGTGTCATTTACACAATTTTTAAACTAGCAAACTAGCAAAATAATAAGGGCCGTTTATAATATAATTATAAATAAATATAATTATTATACCTGTATTATATGTAAATGCGTATATATAAGAATCAAACTTTAGAAATTTCCATATAATTTTGGGAGAGGGAAACATAAGTGTGTTTGTTACTTGTTCTATGTATACCCTGTCGTATCAATTATAGGGGTTTACCTTTGAAGTGGTTTAAATTCAAATACAGAGAATAGATTATATCGGTTTTTGCACTATTCAACAATTACAGTGCGAGAAGACAACACGAAAGATGTCACTTTGAACATTGCATATCTTGTCAAGATCGATAAACCTCTCACCTGCGCATTCAGGTAACCTGTTATTTGAACATCTGTTTACGAAAAAAGACTTTCTCTCACGTGAGAGGTACGTTTTACATGTTTTAAGTTACATGTATATACATTTTAAGAATAAATAACAAAAACAAGAAGAAAAGTTTACTGGACAATTAATCAGATTATTACTCAGATGGCCTACTGCTATCCGTTCTCAATCGTCCGTCGTCGTGCAGTACTGTCTTCCATCGGTTGAAAACTTCTGAACATCTTCAGTTTCCCCTCTTGAGCTACTGACCAAATCTCAACCAATTTTTGAAATATACATGTTGCATTTCTGGGAAATAGAAAGCAAAACGCAATTTTCATGGTCTCTACTTTCCTGGGATCTGAGGGGTGGGGTCCCAAATCATCGAAATTAATGAACATCTACCAGTCCACTTTTGTTTGATCGTCTTACCAAAATCGTAAAATTCCTGGCGCCTTGGTCCATGGCTCTGGCTTTAGGGTGGCGTTTTATTGGTCATACTGGAAATTCGTTAAGACTTTGATCATGTTGATTTCTGCTTTTTCATGAATTTTGGTAATATTTTAATTCATTAATTTATTTATTTCAATACGGTCAATTTAAATATCGGCTCTGCATAACCCCTATTTTCGGTGAAATCTCTCAGGTCCTGCTGTCCAGCTGATCAATAATCAAACTTTTTAAATATGATTTTTTAACATTGTACATTACCTTTATTGTTTTATAAATACATTTTGGATCAATTTTACGCAAACATCAGTTATAAAGAGGAAACACAACGTGACATTTTATAAGTGCTCTTTTAAGAGACTAAAATACTGAGTTATTGATTATTTCAAAGCGAACTTCTCCTTCTAACCTTGCCAACTCCAATAAAGCGATATATTTTGTTGTGCAAATAATATGCATATTACAACAGGTATTTGAAAATCTAAATATAATTCGCAAATATCTGTTGAGACGAGATAATCCTCTTGCAAGACATCAAACTTCCTGATTGTCTAAATGATCGAATATTTATATCGATTAACGAAGACGCCATATCTTTCTCACATCATTGTGAGATATATATAAAATAGATATCAGATAAGATACTGAAATCATCTCCCCTACAAGACGTTAGACACCCTAACTTTGGACCAATATAGGTACAGTTTGTTTTATTGCACGATGGAGTCTCTACGTACCCTGCCGTGCTTTGTGCACTTTTTGGTGATTTTAGGATTTTCCTGTTCTTTAATTCGAGGTTTGTCCGCAGATTACTTTTAGGTTTATAAATTTTTCAAACACACTGCAATCCTTCAGATGCTGTACATTAGAAAAACTTTTCATTTAATTTATAACTGTTGTATGAAATATTTGATAGAAGATTTAGTATATAGGCGGCATTTAAACTGTAGAACTACTTAGGATCTTATCGCTGATCTTTGTTTATATTTATTACTGTATTAGGAGATGTTTCATTCACTCACGAATTGGCACAGAACTCGAGTCCTGCGTGCTATGGATCAGATTATACAAGTTTTGTGAATGCCGGTTGTAATAAGGGTTCTGAACAACAAGTTGTTTTTCCAGTAAAAGTGGTAGCAGGTGCAAAACCAAATTCCACAGGATGTATGGATATTGATAACGATTACATTGACA